TCTGGTCGCGTGCGCCGTGCCCTTCTGACAAGGAAATTAGTGTAAGCACCTCTCTTTCTGGTCGCGTGCGCCGTGCCCTTCTGACAAGGAAATTAGTGTAAGCACCTCTCTTTCTGGTCGCGTGCGCCGTGCCCTTCTGACAAGGAAATTAGTGTAAGCACCTCTCTTTCTGGTCGCGTGCGCCGTGCCCTTCTGACAAGGAAATTAGTGTAAGCACCTCTCTTTCTGGTCGCGTGCGCCGTGCCCTTCTGACAAGGAAATTAGTGTAAGCACCTCTCTTTCTGGTCGCGTGCGCCGTGCCCTTCTGACAAGGAAATTAGTGTAAGCACCTCTCTTTCTGGTCGCGTGCGCCGTGCCCTTCTGACAAGGAAATTAGTGTAAGCACCTCTCTTTCTGGTCTCGTGCGCCGTGCCCTTCTGACAAGGAAATTAGTGTAAGCACCTCTCTTTCTGGTCGCGTGCGCCGTGCCCTTCTGACAAGGAAATTAGTGTAAGCACCTCTCTTTCTGGTCGCGTGCGCCGTGCCCTTCTGACAAGGAAATTAGTGTAAGCACCTCTCTTTCTGGTCGCGTGCGCCGTGCCCTTCTGACAAGGAAATTAGTGTAAGCACCTCTCTTTCTGGTCGCGTGCACCGTGCCCTTCTGACAAGGAAATTAGTGTAAGCACCTCTCTTTCTGGTCGCGTGCGCCGTGCCCTTCTGACAAGGAAATTAGTGTAAGCACCTCTCTTTCTGGTCGCGTGCGCCGTGCCCTTCTGACAAGGAAATTAGTGTAAGCACCTCTCTTTCTGGTCGCGTGCGCCGTGCCCTTCTGACAAGGAAATTAGTGTAAGCACCTCTCTTTCTGGTCGCGTGCGCCGTGCCCTTCTGACAAGGAAATTAGTGTAAGCACCTCTCTTTCTGGTCGCGTGCGCCGTGCCCTTCTGACAAGGAAATTAGTGTAAGCACCTCTCTTTCTGGTCGCGTGCGCCGTGCCCTTCTGACAAGGAAATTAGTGTAAGCACCTCTCTTTCTGGTCGCGTGCGCCGTGCCCTTCTGACAAGGAAATTAGTGTAAGCACCTCTCTTTCTGGTCGCGTGCGCCGTGCCCTTCTGACAAGGAAATTAGTGTAAGCACCTCTCTTTCTGGTCGCGTGCGCCGTGCCCTTCTGACAAGGAAATTAGTGTAAGCACCTCTCTTTCTGGTCGCGTGCGCCGTGCCCTTCTGACAAGGAAATTAGTGTAAGCACCTCTCTTTCTGGTCGCGTGCGCCGTGCCCTTCTGACAAGGAAATTAGTGTAAGCACCTCTCTTTCTGGTCGCGTGCGCCGTGCCCTTCTGACAAGGAAATTAGTGTAAGCACCTCTCTTTCTGGTCGCGTGCGCCGTGCCCTTCTGACAAGGAAATTAGTGTAAGCACCTCTCTTTCTGGTCGCGTGCGCCGTGCCCTTCTGACAAGGAAATTAGTGTAAGCACCTCTCTTTCTGGTCGCGTGCGCCGTGCCCTTCTGACAAGGAAATTAGTGTAAGCACCTCTCTTTCTGGTCGCGTGCGCCGTGCCCTTCTGACAAGGAAATTAGTGTAAGCACCTCTCTTTCTGGTCGCGTGCGCCGTGCCCTTCTGACAAGGAAATTAGTGTAAGCACCTCTCTTTCTGGTCGCGTGCGCCGTGCCCTTCTGACAAGGAAATTAGTGTAAGCACCTCTCTTTCTGGTCGCGTGCGCCGTGCCCTTCTGACAAGGAAATTAGTGTAAGCACCTCTCTTTCTGGTCGCGTGCGCCGTGCCCTTCTGACAAGGAAATTAGTGTAAGCACCTCTCTTTCTGGTCGCGTGCGCCGTGCCCTTCTGACAAGGAAATTAGTGTAAGCACCTCTCTTTCTGGTCGCGTGCGCCGTGCCCTTCTGACAAGGAAATTAGTGTAAGCACCTCTCTTTCTGGTCGCGTGCGCCGTGCCCTTCTGACAAGGAAATTAGTGTAAGCACCTCTCTTTCTGGTCGCGTGCGCCGTGCCCTTCTGACAAGGAAATTAGTGTAAGCACCTCTCTTTCTGGTCGCGTGCGCCGTGCCCTTCTGACAAGGAAATTAGTGTAAGCACCTCTCTTTCTGGTCGCGTGCGCCGTGCCCTTCTGACAAGGAAATTAGTGTAAGCACCTCTCTTTCTGGTCGCGTGCGCCGTGCCCTTCTGACAAGGAAATTAGTGTAAGCACCTCTCTTTCTGGTCGCGTGCGCCGTGCCCTTCTGACAAGGAAATTAGTGTAAGCACCTCTCTTTCTGGTCGCGTGCGCCGTGCCCTTCTGACAAGGAAATTAGTGTAAGCACCTCTCTTTCTGGTCGCGTGCGCCGTGCCCTTCTGACAAGGAAATTAGTGTAAGCACCTCTCTTTCTGGTCGCGTGCGCCGTGCCCTTCTGACAAGGAAATTAGTGTAAGCACCTCTCTTTCTGGTCGCGTGCGCCGTGCCCTTCTGACAAGGAAATTAGTGTAAGCACCTCTCTTTCTGGTCGCGTGCGCCGTGCCCTTCTGACAAGGAAATTAGTGTAAGCACCTCTCTTTCTGGTCGCGTGCGCCGTGCCCTTCTGACAAGGAAATTAGTGTAAGCACCTCTCTTTCTGGTCGCGTGCGCCGTGCCCTTCTGACAAGGAAATTAGTGTAAGCACCTCTCTTTCTGGTCGCGTGCGCCGTGCCCTTCTGACAAGGAAATTAGTGTAAGCACCTCTCTTTCTGGTCGCGTGCGCCGTGCCCTTCTGACAAGGAAATTAGTGTAAGCACCTCTCTTTCTGGTCGCGTGCGCCGTGCCCTTCTGACAAGGAAATTAGTGTAAGCACCTCTCTTTCTGGTCGCGTGCGCCGTGCCCTTCTGACAAGGAAATTAGTGTAAGCACCTCTCTTTCTGGTCGCGTGCGCCGTGCCCTTCTGACAAGGAAATTAGTGTAAGCACCTCTCTTTCTGGTCGCGTGCGCCGTGCCCTTCTGACAAGGAAATTAGTGTAAGCACCTCTCTTTCTGGTCGCGTGCGCCGTGCCCTTCTGACAAGGAAATTAGTGTAAGCACCTCTCTTTCTGGTCGCGTGCGCCGTGCCCTTCTGACAAGGAAATTAGTGTAAGCACCTCTCTTTCTGGTCGCGTGCGCCGTGCCCTTCTGACAAGGAAATTAGTGTAAGCACCTCTCTTTCTGGTCGCGTGCGCCGTGCCCTTCTGACAAGGAAATTAGTGTAAGCACCTCTCTTTCTGGTCGCGTGCGCCGTGCCCTTCTGACAAGGAAATTAGTGTAAGCACCTCTCTTTCTGGTCGCGTGCGCCGTGCCCTTCTGACAAGGAAATTAGTGTAAGCACCTCTCTTTCTGGTCGCGTGCGCCGTGCCCTTCTGACAAGGAAATTAGTGTAAGCACCTCTCTTTCTGGTCGCGTGCGCCGTGCCCTTCTGACAAGGAAATTAGTGTAAGCACCTCTCTTTCTGGTCGCGTGCGCCGTGCCCTTCTGACAAGGAAATTAGTGTAAGCACCTCTCTTTCTGGTCGCGTGCGCCGTGCCCTTCTGACAAGGAAATTAGTGTAAGCACCTCTCTTTCTGGTCGCGTGCGCCGTGCCCTTCTGACAAGGAAATTAGTGTAAGCACCTCTCTTTCTGGTCGCGTGCGCCGTGCCCTTCTGACAAGGAAATTAGTGTAAGCACCTCTCTTTCTGGTCGCGTGCGCCGTGCCCTTCTGACAAGGAAATTAGTGTAAGCACCTCTCTTTCTGGTCGCGTGCGCCGTGCCCTTCTGACAAGGAAATTAGTGTAAGCACCTCTCTTTCTGGTCGCGTGCGCCGTGCCCTTCTGACAAGGAAATTAGTGTAAGCACCTCTCTTTCTGGTCGCGTGCGCCGTGCCCTTCTGACAAGGAAATTAGTGTAAGCACCTCTCTTTCTGGTCGCGTGCGCCGTGCCCTTCTGACAAGGAAATTAGTGTAAGCACCTCTCTTTCTGGTCGCGTGCGCCGTGCCCTTCTGACAAGGAAATTAGTGTAAGCACCTCTCTTTCTGGTCGCGTGCGCCGTGCCCTTCTGACAAGGAAATTAGTGTAAGCACCTCTCTTTCTGGTCGCGTGCGCCGTGCCCTTCTGACAAGGAAATTAGTGTAAGCACCTCTCTTTCTGGTCGCGTGCGCCGTGCCCTTCTGACAAGGAAATTAGTGTAAGCACCTCTCTTTCTGGTCGCGTGCGCCGTGCCCTTCTGACAAGGAAATTAGTGTAAGCACCTCTCTTTCTGGTCGCGTGCGCCGTGCCCTTCTGACAAGGAAATTAGTGTAAGCACCTCTCTTTCTGGTCGCGTGCGCCGTGCCCTTCTGACAAGGAAATTAGTGTAAGCACCTCTCTTTCTGGTCGCGTGCGCCGTGCCCTTCTGACAAGGAAATTAGTGTAAGCACCTCTCTTTCTGGTCGCGTGCGCCGTGCCCTTCTGACAAGGAAATTAGTGTAAGCACCTCTCTTTCTGGTCGCGTGCGCCGTGCCCTTCTGACAAGGAAATTAGTGTAAGCACCTCTCTTTCTGGTCGCGTGCGCCGTGCCCTTCTGACAAGGAAATTAGTGTAAGCACCTCTCTTTCTGGTCGCGTGCGCCGTGCCCTTCTGACAAGGAAATTAGTGTAAGCACCTCTCTTTCTGGTCGCGTGCGCCGTGCCCTTCTGACAAGGAAATTAGTGTAAGCACCTCTCTTTCTGGTCGCGTGCGCCGTGCCCTTCTGACAAGGAAATTAGTGTAAGCACCTCTCTTTCTGGTCGCGAAGGACGAGGCACATGTGGGTCGATTTTTGAGTCGACTCACTACATGTGGGAGGATAAGGATGAGCACCTCTCCGTCTGCGCTTCTGCCCTCCTGCCCTTGTGCCCTTCTTACGTTCCTCCTCGCCTTCTTCTGGCGATCGGACTAGGTGAAGAGGACGGTGAGGGGAATCTGGTGGGAGGAGATGGGAGTTCGTTGGGGAGCAATGGGGACACACACGTGGGAGAGGGGGGTAAGTAAGGGGAAGGATCAACACCGTCCCTCCTGGCCTTCTTCTGGCGATCGGACTAGGTAAAGAGGACGGTGAGGGGGGTCTGGGGAGAGAGAGGAGATGGGGTGCAAATGTGGGAGAATCAAGATAAGCGCCTCGCCTTCTGCCCGTCTGCCATTGTGCCCTTCTAGCTTTCCTCCTGGCCTTGTTCTGGCGATCTCACTTGGTGGAGACAACCGTGAGGGGGATCCAGGGGGGAGGAGAAAGGACGATGCAGCGCCTAGACACCACATGAACACACACGCCCAAACAACACAAGTCCTCAAAAGTCCACATGGACACAAGTGCTCCCGAGTGGACTCAAGTCAACACAAGTCAACACAAGTCAACACAAGCCAACACAAGTCCCCAAAACTCCGCACGGACACATGTGCTCCCAAGTCAACCCAAGTCAACCCAAGCCAACCCGGGTCAATCCAAGTAAACCCGAGTCAACGCTACTCACCTTGTTTCTTCCCAGCCAATCAGCACACTCCACGTCAATGGCTTGAGGCGGAATAGTGGCATCGACCAACAGCAGCACGGAGAGCAGGTTGGTGCGCGACGGTCAACCCAAGTCAACCCAGGTCAACGCCACCTACCTTGTTCCTCCCCAGCCAATCAGCGCACTCCACGTCAATGGCTTGGGGCGGAATAGTAGCATCCACCAGCAGCAGCACGGTGAGCAGGTTGGTGCGCGAGGTGAAGTAGGCCTTGGTAAAAGCGTTCCACTCCGTGCGGATGGCATTGGGGGCAACAGCATATCTGCACGAGTGTGGGGAGGGGGTGTAAGGGAGGGGATAACATAGCACCAGCAGCAGCACGGTTAGCAGGTTGGTGCGCGAGGTGAAGTAGGCCTTGGTGAACACGCTCCACTCCGTCCTTATGGCGTTGGGTGCCACGGCGTACCTGGCATGGGGAGGAACGAGGGGGGGGGGGTAACAGCAGCAGCAGCAGCACGGTTAGCAGGTTGGTGTGCGAGGTGAAGCATGCCTTGGTGAACACGCTCCACTCCGCTCGAATAGCATTGCAGGCTACTACATAGCTGGGGTGGGGAATAAAGGGGATGAAGCAGCAGCAGCAGCAGCACGAAGAGGAAGTTAGTTGGAAAGGCAAAGAACTGAGAAAATACTCACTCACTCACTCACTCACACACAGACACAAACACCCTCACTCACACCTAGGGTTGAGCAAAAAACGAACAGTTCGAGGCGAACCGAACAGGATTGTTTTTTTTGCTTAAAGTGTTCGCCAAACAGTGTTCGCCAAACAGTGTTCGAGGTTCGCCCGAACACGTTCGTGTTCGGGCTGCTGCTGCAATTTGCCCCGCGACGAACACGAACGTGTTCGAGGTTCGCCCGAACACGCCTTCACATGCGAACGGCGAACACCTGTTTTTCCTAAAAGTGTTCGCCGAACCGAACACTGTTCGGTTCGGCAAACGGATGTGTTCGTGTAGGGGCGAACACGAACATGTTCGTGTTCGCCCCTTGCTCATTCCTACTCACACCCACTTGCAAACTCACTCACACACTCACACTGACTCACGCCCTTTTATCCTGGCAAGGCAAGTCCATAAGGCATAATATATATATACAAAATATATATATATATACAAAATATATATATATATATAAAAGTAAAGTCAAGCCTCTAATACACGCCCACTTACTCACCCATAGCCTGGCAGATCCACGAGATACCAGGAGTCGTTGATAAGGAAGTGGTTTATCAGCTGCGTCTTGCCTGCAGGGGAGAAGGGGGTATGGTGGGGATGGGGGGCAGGTGGGAAGGGGGGAACAGGGGGAGTGGATGGGGAGGAGGCAAATCCACGAGGTACCAGGAGTCGTTGATAGGGAAGTGGCTTATCAGCTGTGTCTTGCCTGCAGGAAAAAGGGGGGAAGGGGAGAAGGGTGAAAGAGGAAGTGAGCGAATGTGGAATGATGGAAGGGAGGAAAGGGAGAGGAGGGGGAGAGGAGGGGAAGAGGAGAGGAGAGGAGAGGAGGGGAGGGGAAGAGGAGAGGAGAGGAGAGGAGAGGAGAGGAGGGGAAGAGGAGAGGAGAGGAGAGGAGAGGATAGGAGAGGAGGGGAAGAGGAGAGGAGAGGAGAGGAGAGGAGAGGAGGGGAAGAGGAGAGGAGAGGAGAGGAGAGGAGGGGAAGAGGAGAGGAGAGGAGAGGAGAGGAGAGGAGAGGAGAGGAGGACCTTGACGGTTTGTCAGCGTGTTGATGAGGGACGATTGCGATGGCAGCAAGGGAGGACTCATGTGTAAAACCCGAAACCCTAAATCTCACTAACCCCAAATCCTGTACTCACCTGGTTTCTTGGACGTTTAAGCTAGCCCCTGGTGATTCGTCAGCATGTTGATAAGGGTGGTTACGACCATAGCAGGGGAGGATTCAAGAGTAAAACCCGAAACACTCAAACCCCTCAATTCGAAACTCGAAACCCTAAACTTTGAACTTACCTGGTTTCTTGGACGTCTGTGCAAGCCCCTTGTGATTGGTCAGCATGTTGATAAGGGAAGATTTTCCCACATTCGACCGGCCAATCACAGCAAACTCCGGGATTTTCGTATCCTTAGGGCACTGTGCCACGCTGCTGCTGCTCTTCACAAATACTGCTGATTTCACCCGCGGGGCTTGCCGCCCGGGCGGCAGCACCAGACTGCCCGTGGAAAGCTCCTGTGCTGACTCAGCGAGGGTTCGTTCCACATCAGCATCGCCCACGTCCCATTCGCCCTCGTCCTCTTCCTCCGCCCACTCGTCCTCCTCTTCAAAGTCCCCCTCGTTATAGTCACGTTCTGCAAGCTCCTCGAAACTAATTCCCGAACCTCCGGTGGCTCCTCGCTCCCGAACGTGCATAGAATCAGGCTCGGCGGCGCTAGCCATAATGTATGCAGGATCCGGCCCGTCTTGTTGCTTCGGAGCTGGTCTAGCAGGAGGCTTGGAATTAGGCTTGGCAGAAGGTTTGGGTTTCGCACCAGCCTTGGGATTGCCATGAGGACGGCTCTTAGCACTCTTGGCACTCTTTGCATTCTTAGTAACCTTACTCTTACTGCTGTTGCTGCCCGCACTCTTGGGCCTACTTCCTCCCTTCCCCCCGTCACCCTCGCGAGTGCTTACGCTGCTGCTGCTGCCACTGCTTCTGCCGCTACTGCTCCCACCAGAGCTGTTGCCAAAACCACGGCCGCTGCTGCTGCTGCTGCTGCTGCTTCGGGTGTTTATTCTGGATATACCCAGATTAACCGAAGGTGTTGCGCGGTTAGCTGTTAACACTGGCACTCCCGAAAACGGGGAAGATTTAACGGCCAGAAAGCTATGGAGTGGAGAAAGAGCGTTCGGTTTTGAGGAAATCCCGAGGCTAGGACGACAGTTGAGGTGAGTCGCAGGATTGGCTTGAGCTGACGTGGCAACGGCTGACGTGGAACGACCTAGAGGGTGCGGCGATATTGTTTCACAAGCGGTGTGCGAGTGTTGGAATTGGTTCCAGGGAATCCGCTGAGCCATGGCGTGACTGTAACGGGAGACAGCTTGGTGGGATGGGTGAGACGGGTGGGACGCTACAAATGCTGATGTGGCCGCTACGGCTGACGTGGGCGCTACGACTGCTGACGTGGGCGCTACGACTGCTGATGTGGGCGCTACAGCCGCGTTTCGACGGGTCGTCTCAAGCCAGCACGGCGCGCCGGAAACGGTCGGAACTCGCACAAGCGGGTGCTGCGCGGAGGCAAGCGCGCGCAATGCGGCAGTCACGACGAGAGGCCGCGAATCGCGCAGGAGAGAGCTTGCGGGAACGGCGGCGAGGGATCGTGCGAAGCGAGGGAGTAACATTCAGACGAGCTGGCCGGGATAGTTTGGCGCAAGGGATATCGACTATGGTAGCGCAAGAGGCGGCATCAAATGCGAGTCTAGCCAGACATACCTACAATTGCTCAAGACTAGCTTAGGACAAGTTCCCGACCAATCTAGCAGGAGCTGTTCGAATGAAATTTCGTACTGTGGAATCAGAGTGCCACGTGGCACTTCGTTGTGTGAAAGTTCTCACAACGCAGAGTCGAGCTTTGAGCTTCTTGAATAACAAATACTCGGAAGAATCATGTGTCCACTATCAGCCGTGAGTTACACACAAAGCGAACTATTCTTTCGCCTTTTACTAAAGAATACCGTGTGTGTTCCTCGCTAGGCGGCATACATCAATTTTTGGAGTGCTCCTAAAGGGGCGCAACAAAATAAACTTGAAATAGGATGATGAAGAGGGATTTTTCACACAAACTTCACGTAACACGATTGGCTGTTGTTGAAGCCTAAAGTATGAAGGTTGTGCCAATCGTGAAACTAAAAATGTACCAAGGTGCATGGCCAATTTCCTCTATGGTCATTCAAGTTCTACCACACATGCTAACTCAGCACATTTCCATTCACAAGTAGATTGGTGATGCCACATTAAACATGCTAATACTAGAGTTGGAACCCTAATACTGACAAGATACTAGTTCTAATTCCAGCTCATATCCAACATTTGCTACTACAGGACCTTAGTTGCACAAGCCACCTGGCTGCTGCAACAAAATGTGCTATGTATATCCCCTTCTTTGAAGCTAAGCTGCTCCTGAACTACACCATAAAAGGTGGCAACCACATAATCTCTGTTGCTGGTGCCGCCCACTGTACACCTCATCAAAGCTAGGTTGCTGCTGGACTGATGGCCACAACATCAATAATATCCACCTCGTTATCATCAGCAGCGCCGCGTGCACTGCGCTTGCTGTTAACACCACTGGCACCTTTGTTGTCGCTGCTGCTGCCGCTGTTGGTGCTTTTAGCAGAGGAGCTCTGAGCTTTTCTTGGGGAGCCCCAGCCCTTGGGTGTCCACACCACGTGGTGGCATCCTCGGCAGATCAGCAGCTCGCGACGGGGACCGATGAAACGAACTCCACACGAGGGGCAATCACCCTGGGAAAAGAAGCGAGGACGGGAAGTTGTGAAGGGGGAAACGGAAGAAGAGGACGCTGGTGCACGATCAGAAGCTACCATCAACAACATCGTACTGTGAGGAAAATCACACAGCAAGATTCGGGCAGCAAGCAGCGGAAGAGGGCGATCACACAGCAAAGCCTGGGCTTGAAAATTATAGAAACGATACCTCAACGAAGGCTGCTTTGGCGAGCGCCCTAGCAAGCAGTGGAAGGAGCGGGACAATGCAGAGCGACCAGAGGAAGATCTGAGCTAGCCAGCCTGAGATGAGGAGCCACGCGAACGCCACGAACTGGGGGAGGAAGAAGGGGGAAAGGGGGGGGGAGGGGACGGGGTGGGAGGGACGGGGGAGCAGGAAAGGATATTAATGGCAGTGGGACAATGCAGAGCGACCAGAGGAAGATCTGCGCAAGCCAGCCCGAGATGAGGAGCCACGCGAATGCCACGAACTGGGGGAGGGAGGAGAGAGAGAGAGAGGACCATGTGAGAGAGGGTAGACATGAAAACAAAATCTGAGACGTCTCAAGGCTCGATCAATCCCGAAATGAGCAGCCATGGGAACACCAGGAACTGAGGGAGGAAGGGAAGGCCAATGGCGATTCACAAGAGAGAATGCAAGATCCGCGACGCGGAAAGAGATTGAGGGGATTGGAAAGAGCGTCAAGGGCGTGGAGGAGGAGAAAAGGGGAAGAGGATGGGGAGCGGAGACGACGAGTGGCGGACGAGAATGAGAGTAGCGAGGAGCACAAGACTGGAAGCGCGATGAGAGACAGCAGCAAGGGCGGCAGCGGGATCGGCAGCGGGTTCGGCAGCGAGGGTAGCAGCGAGGGTAAAAGCGACGAGACAGCAGTGCGGGGTTGAAGAGCATACCATGACGAGTTGGCCGGCTGGCGTGGTTGAGCAGCAAGGAGCAAAATAGCAGAGCGATGAGAGACAGCAGAGCGAGAGCAGCTGAATGCAGCAACGAGAGACAGCAGTGAGGGGTTGGAAAGCCTACCATGACGAGTTGGCCGGCTGGCGTGGTTCGGAACTCCGCCCACCGCTTCAGATACTGCGGTGGCACGCGCGGGGGGGGACGAGAACAGACGGGGGGGGGAGCAGGAGAGGGGAGCGGGAGAGGGGAGTCGGGGAAAGAGTGGGCATACGGAGTTGGGTAAGGCGGGAGAAGCCAGGCTGCAGTTGCCAAACAGAGGGAGGCGCTCCAGGAGAAGGAGGCGGAGTCAGAGAAGCTGCAGACGCTCTTCTCCAGCTCCTTGGTTAGCGTGGGAGTGCGGAGAAGGGAAGCAGTGTGCGGACGGTGGTAGGAGGGAACAGCACCGCTTTTAGAGAATCTCCTCTTTTCCCGCAATACCTTTGGTAGTTGGTATTGTATCTCCTTGATCATGTCTCGCATTCTTTGTCGGATCCGCAGGTTACAGTCCACATCGTACGCCGCACCGACCACGACGCGTTTCATCTCCTCCACTCTACTTGAAACCCCGAACTGCGCGTCGAACCGAAACGCGTGCCTCTCCGCCTCGAACGCGACCTCCTCAAACCGCTCGTTCGCCGCGCCCACCGCCTCCCGCGCCTTTCCGCGCAGGTCATTCTCGCGCTCAAACTCCGCCACCTTGCTCTGCGCGCAACGCAGAGCCCCCGCCGTGCCGTCCGCTATTTTGCGCAGCGCCACCTTCGACTGCTTCTTGGCAGAGCGAAAAGCGCGGGAAAGCTCCTCCTGGAGCTCTTCCGGATTGAGATTGAAAGGCGGCTCGTCAGGGCCGGACCCGGCTGCGGGAAAATCGGCGGCGGACGCGGCAGCGGCTGACGCAGCGACGCGGGGGACGGCGGAAGAGGACACGGTGCGGAGGCCGAGAGGAAGCGCGCCAGGGGGAAGCGCGCAAGGCGGAAGCGGGAGGCGGGTTGAGGGTTTGTTGGGCGCTGAGGTCGATTTCGAGAGGCGTGAGGTTGATCCTTTGAAGGGCGGCGACCAGCTGGCTTGACGAGATGCGGACGACGAAAGGCTGGACTGCGACGATTTTAGGGATAGCTTGGACGACGTTATCGGAGACGAGAGGTCTAAACGTGCCGCCATTGCGCTCTTATGCAAGGTGGGTGAGCTATGTGGAAACGATTATCAGGCGAGAAGATCAGCTTTGTTGCTGCGGACCAGCGGACTAAACAGCTCCTAACGATGCCCGCGGTTCAATGAGCACCCAGTGGCCAGCTCCACAGTTCGCCTCCCGTCGTAGCCTAAAATAGCGTTTGCGACAACAATTTTCAATCTCTGGAGCCTACTAATGTAGTTGCTCGAACACTAGAGAGAGAAGTAATTTTGCAATGGGTACCGAAAAGGAGGAACCGAAAGGAAGCGTGTAGAAACCCTCATCATTTCTACGAACCGAAGCGAAGCTGCAACTGCAATCATCTTCAGCTCAGTTTCGCCCTTTGTCGTTAGGCCAGCCATTTTCTTACTGACCCAAGGTCGATATCGTTACCCTTGTTTCGCCATCCTTCGTCTAGCTAGGCTGTGTTTGCACTTCAGGGATTCCAAGCGAATCGCGGTCTGGAAGCTGCTGTCCAAGCCTGGCTGGCATGATCCACCAGAATGGCAGTCACGTGTAACTGCGAAGCGTCACTGGTTCGAACCCGCGACTCTCGTTCCATCCACGTCAGTATTCCCATTGGCTATGAATCCTCTCAATGCTTACTCTGTTCCAACCGTGGCACATGTGGCCGCGTGGACGGATCAATCACTGCCAGACAGATCTTCAGCAGCGTGTGAACCGCGTCAGTACACGTCACTAATCGTAATGTTGACGGAGAAATTCGACTCTGACGAGCCTGGATATCCCTGTGCTGTCGTGGACGTGCCTTGTCGTTGTGTGCTGGTGCGTGATCCATTGAATTCACCAATCGCATATTCGATCAAAGTCCACGTCCTAATACACAACTCAGAAGTACAGCTCGACAGAGCGTACATAAACGAAGGGGGAAAAAAAAAACCTTCATCGCTAAGTGTGGATGGACGAATGAATAGCATCATGATTGGGTGTTATATAAAATACAGAAATCCAATATGATATTGTACTCGATCTTGTGATATAGTTTTTACTGTGTTCAATTCGTAGGTTTCCTATATTATTTTGGACTTACTGCATTCCGGTAGGCAGATAGTGAGAATTTATTTCGTTTCTACTCTTGTAGCGAGGCTTCTTGTCACAATCGCTTGTTATCTTTGGCAACCACGTGGGCGAAATTCCCTTGAAAAGGTCCCACGTGGAAAGCTAGAGTTCTGAACCCACGTGATCACCATCCACGTCGGAACAGGCATTGGGATTTGCTAGGATTCTGTGCTCCTCCAGAACCTGGGAGCATGGAATGCAGAAGCAGGTTCCACTCCTTGTGCTTCTTGTGAGAAGCAGGAACGATTGGCTTGTCCTGGGGTGCGAGCCTGAATCTTTAGTGTCCACTCGCCACAAGTCACTCCTCTCCCACGCCTTCCACCTCCATTGCTTGCATTTCGCCCGATTCGCATCGGCCGCGGCCGATCGGTGTTATCCCGTCCCGATCCCATCCTTTACCACGGGAACCATCCCGAAAAGCTCCACTCAGTTGATCCCGCCATCGCATCTCACCACATACTGCCGCATCTCACTGCATCCCACCGGATTCCGACGTTTCCTGCCGCATCCCATCGCTGTAATTCACGTCTCGCACACGCAAGCAAGACATCATGGCTCCGTCACGCCGGTTGCACACTCTGATCCGACGCGCTCTCAATCACAGCCGCCATAGCCATAGCCACAACCTTATGTCTCGTCACACTCCCGCGCCGCCAGTTTCTTCCGCTGCGTTTGGTGCGCTGCCGGCCGCCGGCCGCGCGCTTCCGCCGTTGTGCCGCGGATTCGCTTCCGCCGCCGCCGCAGGTGGCGGAAGCGGAGCCCCGCGCGCGCCGGTGACGGAGAGCGAGGAGCTGGGCGCGAACCGCGTGGTGGAAGCGTCGTTGACGCTGGTGCGCGAGCGAGCGCGGCTCAAGGTACGGCTCGAAAACGAAGCTTCGTCTCAGAATTTCTCAGCTGTAAAAGCACGCGCGCAACATGGAATGCTCATGAATCTGCAACCTTTCTTGTCCACGTCGTGGCCTTGTTCCCCTGGTACCATGTTCCTATGTCCCCCTCTCTCCCTGTTCCCATGTCCCCCTGTCCTCATGTCCCCCTCTCTCCCTGTTCCCATGTCCCCCTGTCCTCATGTCCCCTTCTCTCCCTGTTCCCATGTCCCCCTGTCCTCATGTCCCCCTCTCTCCTGTTTCCATGTCCCCATGTCCCCCTGTTCCCCTGTCCCACTTCCCCCTGTCCCCCTGTTCCCATACCTTTCTACCTCCCTGTCCATCTAACCCCCAACCCCTTTATCAACCCAAACCCCCTACCACTCTACCACGCTACCCTTCCTTCCGCCTGCCCCCCTGTCTTGCAACTCCCCTGCCCCCCTGTCCCGTCTCCCCCTACCACCCTACTACCCTGCCCCCCCCCCTGCCCCCGGTTGTTACCATTTGATTGCAGGCAGAGAAGGTGCGCGCAGCAGGGGGAGCAGAGGTGACAGTATGCCTGCAGGGCGCTGCCTTACCCTCCACTCCTATCCCCTTACCCTCCACTCCTATCCCCTTACCCTCCACTCCTATCCCCTTACCCTCCACTCCTATCCCCTTACCCTCCACTCCTATCCCCTTACCCTCCACTCCTATCCCCTTACCCTCCACTCCTATCCCCTTACCCTCCACTCCTATCCCCTTACCCTCCACTCCTATCCCCTTACCCTCCACCGTCTGTGCCCTGCTGTCCTATCTTACATCACAGGCAGAGAAGGTGCGAGCGGCAGGGGGAGGAGAGGCAACGGCATGTCTGCTGGGCGTTCCTCTGGGGCACAACTCCAGCTTCCTTCAACCTCCGCCCCTAATATCCCACTCTGTCCCTTGTCCCTCTGTACCCTTACCCTCCTGCCCCCTGTTGTGCTCGCTCATATCACAGGCAGAGAAGGTGCGAGCAGCAGGGGGAGCAGAGGCGACAGCATGCCTGCTGGGAGTGCCGCTGGGTCACAACTCCAGCTTCCTGCAGGGCCCGGCCTTTGCCCCTCTTATTCCTCTTTCACCATCTCCCCCCTTTGCCCGGTGCCCGTACTGTCCGCTTATGCATCACAGGCGGAGAAGGTGCGAGCAGCAGGGGGAGCAGAGGCCACGGCGTGTCTGCTCGGGGTGCCGCTGGGTCACAACTCTAGCTTCCTCCAGGGCCCTGCCTTCGCCCCTCTTATCCCCCTGCCAACCTCTCCCTCCTTTGCCCCGTGTCCGTGCTCTCGTCTACCACAGGCGGAGAAGGTGCGAGCAGCAGGGGGAGCAGAGGCCACGGCGTGTCTCCTGGGGGTGCCGCTGGGCCACAACTCCAGCTTCCTCCAGGGCCCTGCCTTCGCCCCTCCGCGCATCCGAGAGGCCATTTGGTGTGGCTCCACCAACTCGGCTACAGAGGAAGGTGAGGGGAGAGATAAGTTGACTGGCATTGATTGGTGAAACTGGTGTTGACTCGAGTTGACTAGAGTTGACTGCCTTCGCCCTTCCGTGCATCCGAGAGGCCATCTGGTGTGGCTCCACCAACTCGGCCACGGAGGAAGGTGAGAGTTGACTGGCGTTGACTTGTGTTGACTAGAGTTGACTAGAGTTGACTAGAGTTGACTACCTTCACCCCCTCCCCGCATCCAAGAGGCCATCTGGTGTGGCTCCACCAACTCGGCTACAGGAAGGTGAGAAGAACGAGATGGGTTCGCCAACTGAAGGAAGGCGAGTGAGGAAAGGCAACAACTGCAGCCGCAGCTACGTTTTGGGGGCATTCTCATAAAACGCCTGTAACGACTGGAGCAACAGCTAGCCACCTTTCTTCAGGTAGCAACAGCTGCTGCAGCTTAGCAAATTAACCTTTCCTAACTCCCTTCACTTGATAAGTGATTCACATATGTGAATGGATACTCAACCTTCACATATCCACCATTCACTTATCCACCATTCACTTATCCACCATTCACATGTCCACCGTTCTCCACACCTTTCCCCTGCGCGTCCACTTATCCTCTGCTCTGCCCCAAGCAGGCAAGGATCTGAACGACATCCGAGTGCTCACAGACGTGGGGGATGTGCCCGTGCAGGTGAGGAGAAAGGGGTTACTGGTGCAGGTGGTATCTGGAGCAGGGGGGTTTGGATGCAGGTAGAGCAGAGGAGGCAAGGATCTGAACGACATTTAAAGTTCACAGACGGTGGGATTTGCCCGTGCAGGTGAGGGGGCAGGCGGGTTACTGGTGCAGGTGGTATTTGGTGCAGGTGGTATTTGGTGCAGGTGGTATTTGGAACACCGTGCAGGTAGTATCTGGTGCTCAGCTCACAGACGTGGGGGATGTGCTTGGCCGGTGAGGGGGGTTACTGATGTAGGTGGTAGTGCAGGCAGGCAGTTGCAAATGCAGGTGAAATGTGATGCAGGTGAAATGTGATGCAGGTGAAATGTGATGCAGGTGAAATGTGATGCAGGTGAAATGTGATGCAGGTGAAATGTGATGCAGGTGAAATGTGATGCAGATGAAATGTGATGCAGGTGAAATGTGATGCAGGTGAAATGTGATGCAGGTGAAATGTGATGCAGGTGAAATGTGATGCAGGTGAAATGTGATGCAGGTGAAATGTGATGCAGGTGAAATGTGATGCAGGTGAAATGTGATGCAGGTGAAATGTGATGCAGGTGAAATGTGATGCAGGTGAAATGTGATGCAGGTGAAATGTGATGCAGGTGAAATGTGATGCAGGCAGGAAAGGCATTGGAGTTGCTTCTTACCGTGTTCGCTTGGTCTGTGGGTTGGAAGACAGCTGCCTCATGTGCACCTTGCATGTGCCTCTAACTCCATTCAATCATGCACCATCCATGCATCCCACCCGACCACAACAGGAGATGCGGGACTGTGGGTTGGACGACAGCCGCCTCATGCGCACCGTGTCAGACTCCGTGCGCCTCGTGCTGGCTGAGGTAATAACCCTGATTCCAAGTCTGTTTTACTGGGTATTTACCCTTATCACTGTATCAGATTACTGTGGCTTGGATGACAGTCGCCTCATGCGCACAGTGTCAGACTCCGTGCGCCTCGTGCTGGCTGAGGTAATGCAGCTTGTTACTCATGTGTGGTGATTATTATATGACTTCAGTCATATGGACAGTCAAAGACAAAAAGCCTATTTCAGTCATCTGCGTTTGCGTAGTTGTGATTGGCTGTGGGAGCAGTGAACTGGGACCGCTGTTTCATTCTTTCGTCTGCGCTGAATGTTTTATGATGCGTGTTGCGTGTTTCATGTTGCGTGTTGCATCAGGATCACGCGCTCTCCCATCCCCACTCCCCAATGAAATTTCATCCACCTTGCCCCCCTCCCATTCTCCCCCATTCGCCCCCCCCATTCTCCCCCATTTCCCCCCCAATTTCTCCCATTTCCCCCGCAGTCCCCTCTGGTCCTAGGAGGAGACCATTCCATTTCCTTCCCGGTGGTGCGGGCGGTATCAGAGCATCTGGGCGGGCCAGGTCGACATTCTTCACTTCGACGCGCACCCAGACATCTACCACGCCTCTGAGGGCAACCATTATTTCCCCCTCATTTGCCCCCAATCTCTCCCCATTCTCCCCCATTCCCCCCTATTTCAACCCCTTCTTCTCCCCTCCTCCTCCCATTGTCACCCCTTTTTCTCCCCTCCTCCTGCCACCCAGTCTCCCCTAGCCCCATTGGTCTTGGGAGGCGATCACTCCATTTCCTTCCCGGTGGTGCGGGCGGTATCAGAGCATCTGGGCGGGCCAGTCGACATTCTTCACTTCGACGCCCACCCAGACATCTACCACGCGTTTGAAGGCAACCACTATTCCCACGCCTCGCCCTTTGCTCGCATCATGGAGTCTGGAGCGTGCCGGCGACTCTTGCAGGTGGGATAAACGGTTCAGGTTTTCGGGTTTCGGGTTTAAGATTTTGGGTTGAGGTTCCCTTGAGTTTGTACCCAACCAGACATCTACCATGCCTTTGAGGGCAACCACTATTCCCACGCCTCGCCCTTTGCTCGCATCATGGAGTCGGGAGCGTGCCGGAGGCTGCTGCAGGTGGGATTATATCTTAAATGGTGCCTCTTTGTTCCAGGTTCCCAGGAGGTAATTTCGTTCCACACAAATCTTGACGCGTCCAGAAATCTTGTGATAAAAGTTGAGTTTTGAGACGTCTCAAAAAATGTTGGCCACGCAAATTTTGTGATAATTGACTCCTGGGGTTTCGTTTTGTGAAATTTTGTGCAGCTGTCCGAAATTGAGCATACATGCGATAATTACCTCCTGTATATTTTTCTGCGTATGTATACACAAGCATACATACATTGTATAGATCATTCTCCCACTGTTTTTCCCCGTCCATCCCAAATTCTTTGAATGCTCGCAGGTGGGCATTCGGTCGATCAACGAGGAGGGCCGGGCGCAGGGCAGGCGGTTTGGCGTGGAGCAGTACGAGATGAGGCACTTCCACCGCAACCGAGAGATGCTCGAAAACTTGGTGGGTGGGGTGAGGGGGGAATGTGCTTGTAGTGAGTATGCTTACAATGACAGGCCGGGAGCAGGGCAGGCGGTTTGGCGTGGAGCAATACGAGATGCTGCACTTCCACCGCAAACGAGAGATGCTGGAGAACCTGGTGGGTGGGGAGCGGTGGTGATATGTTGGGTTCGAGCGTGCTCATAGTGATGGGTGTGCTTGTACAGAATGGGACAAGACAAGTTAACTGCACTGACTTCTAGCATGGAGCAGCATGAGATGAGGCACTTCCACCGCAACTGAGCGATGCTGGAGAACTTGGTGGGTGGAGAGTGGTGGAGATGGGTGTGGGGTGTGCTTACAGTGATGGGGGAAACCTCTTATACTGAATGCACCATGTCACATCCAGCATGTCTAGCGTGTGTGGTGGTGCAGCATGAGATGAGGAGGCACGTCCATCACATCCGAGACACTCTTGATAGAATGATGGGTGGGTGGAAGTGCCTGGTATGCGATTTGTGCTTCTCCACGCACCATATTGAACCTGGTGGGTAGAATGATTGTGATTTGTATGGTATGCGCTTACAGTAGTTGGTTGTGCTTGTACCGAATGGAACAGGTCACTTTCACTGACTGCTTGCTTGAATTAGTATGAGATGAGGCGCTTCCACCTCCCGCCTCCCCTCTCATCTCCCCTCCCATTTCCCCTTTCGTCTCTCCAAACAGGAGCTGGGCCAGGGGGTGAAGGGAGTATACGTATCCATCGACATAGACTGCCTCGATCCCGCCTTTGCTCCGGGCGTCTCCCACATTGAGCCGGGCGGTCTCTCCTTTCGCGACGTCATGAACATTCTGCAGAACCTCAAAGGTGAACATTCTCGTAGTAAACTTTCCCTGATAGTTCACTCTAACCTGCACGTTGAGCTGGGCAACCTCTCCTTTCGCGATGTCATGAACATTCTGCAGAACCTCGAAGGTGAATCTTCTGGTGAATGTTCTGGTGGGTATTCTTGTGAACATTCTCCAAAAGTGCATTCAGTAGAAAATCCTTTTCACGATGAAAATCGAGCCAGGCGGCCTCTCCTTCCACGTGAAACGCCAAAATTCTGCAGAACCTCAAAGGTGACTATTGTGGTGAAAGTTCATATCAAGAACTCTCAGTGAAAGTTCATATCAAGCTGCACATTCAGCCGGGCGGCTGAATAATGTGGTGGGGGGTGATGTGGTGGGGGGTGATGTGGTGCAGCTGAACCCGCAGTGTGTATGTCCCGGCCAACCCCATTCCTTCTCACGCCCCCACCTCCCCTGCTTACCCCACCAGGCAATGTGGTGGCCGGTGAGGTGGTGGCCGGTGAGGTGGTGGAGCTGAACCCACATCGTTTGTGCCACTCAACCACCCCCCACCCGACCCCCCTCCCCTCTCATTTCCTTCCCCCCCCTCCCCCCTCCCCGGCTTACCCCACCAGGCTGTGTGGTGGCGGGGGACGTGGTGCAGCTGAACCCACAGCGCACTTGTCCCCACCCCCCTCCTCACCCCCCAAACACATTCCCTTTCCTCTCCCCTCCCCCCCCAAACCCCCTCCCCTCCGCGCACCCCACCAGGCAATGTGGTGGCCGGGGACGTGGTGGAGCTGAACCCACAGCGCGACACGGTGGACGGCATGACAGCCATGGTTGCCGCCAAATTTGTTCGCGAGCTCGCAGCTCGCATCTCCAAGTAGTGGTCGCTGGCGGCTGTTTACTCTAAGCGGTAACTGCTTTCGTGTGTCCAACCTGGACACATGATTTGAAACATGGTAAACACTGGCATGCACTTGCTATCCAGTCACCATGTGCATGAGTTATTCCAAGTTCTGTAGCTGAAGGGACATGTTCTCCTAGTCACTTTCGCATGGTAATTCAAGGTTCCAAAACCCATCCCTCTTTAGTATGTTTTTTTTTTTTTTTTTTGGAGGCCACTAATTAACATTTGCGCTTGATCAATGAGAAGCATACACCCTCACGTCAGAATGCAAGGCGCATTCACTCCCAAAGATCTTTGTTCTGATACGAGGACCCCACAGTGCCCCGCCCGGTCGAAAAGGTTTGCAACGTTGCCCCTTCAAGCCCGTGCCATTGGAACCCGAGTTCCACCGTGTCATGCCTGACAACCAGTGTGGGTACAGCATGGAAAAAATCGTAAGCAGAGATTCCAAGCCTCCCCCTTCGTGAAAACGTTTCCGTTGCTTTCTGTGCATGCATTGCAGTACACAGTGCATATGCTGGTGCGGTGAAACAGTTGTTATAACTTCGATGGAATCGTCAAGATTCGGGAAAATTAGGCTGGTGTCTGGTTGAAAAAACCATTAACGGTTTGCTGCGCAACCTTGTTGATTTTCTCTGAACCTGTCAAAGTCTCCGAGAGGCAGAATGGCCTGAGCGACAAGACTGACGAGTTATTTGTGAGGGTGTCTGATGGGCTCACGTTTGTACCAAGGAATGTCTAAACTAGAAGCGTAACTACCCTTATCCATTTCATATCGTGGCATCCCTCCAACGCACACAACCGCCTTTCTGTGATCCTGCTCTGTTGTCCACCACAATGAAAGCGACCTGAAGCTTGTTCAGCAAGAGATGCACGCAGCGTCTCTCTGAGAATCTTTTGCTATCCAGACTAAGTCGTCCGATCAAAGCTGTTGCCACACGTGCTCACCTTCAGCCCTCCATGTTTAATGTTTAACTCCTATCCCATCGCCTTGCATTCTGCCTGAACTCGCGGGCGGGCCGTACTATTTGGGCTTGTTCTTGAAGCTCGAGTTTTGCAGCTTGTGGAGGAGGATCCTCACTGCTACGCGGAGATCGTCTATATTCACGGAAAGTTGCAAGTGTAGCTAGAGTTTTTCCAGCTCAGTCGAACATCTCCCACTGCTTGTCACTTCGAAATGACGAGTTCGCCTTCATCAAGCGCAGAAGCGCAGACTGTAGTACATGTTAGTATTATCACCTCCACCGCAATGCAGTGATTACAGTAGTCGATTTATTTTCAGCGGCACTGCCCCAGTCCAGAAGTCTGTCGACAAACAGAACCTGCCGTGTCGTTCGTTCCCGAGGACTCGAGGAGCAAGAGATTTGTTCTACTACACTTCTTTTAGACGAAGCACACTCCAGAAAGCACTCCTGGAGTCCAAAATTCGGTCGCCCACTAGCTCCGCGAGCGTAGAGTATCTTCGAACATCGACGAGTTGCCGCCATTATTATGTCGTCTCGTAGTCAGCGCGACGTAGTACTCCGTGGTAGTGCCGAACTTTCCAACGTCTCTGCCAGGGGCGTCGGAGGTTCGGCTGAGACTCGTCATAATCATTCCCCGGCCGCGGACAGCACGTTTCAGTCGCCGAACCTCACGGAGACGCCGCTCGCGGCAATGATGCATCGGCAGCGGACCGCGGTCGAAGCGTGGGTACATCAGCTGCAGCTTGAAGGCAGCAGCACCAATGGCGGCATCGCGCCTCCCGCGGCTCGTGCTGACAAACAGCGGCTTGACGTCTCCGCGACCGAGTCGGCATCGGTAATGGTACCTTTCACCGTCGCCAACGCGGCAATACGAAAGAATGTCGCCGAATCAGCGCAAGGTTACGAGTCGCCGGCCCGTCTCGCCGCTCAAGAGCTTCCGGAGCTGCTCGAACGTTCCGCCGAGGCTGCGCGTTTCGCGCAGCTCAGATTCTCTCCGTCGCGGAAGAAAGAAGCTTCTCTGCGGCAAACGGAGCTGTCGCAAGCGGAAAATCTCCGCTTCCCGCGTCGCGGTCAGTCATGCCCCGCGACGCGGCTTTCTCCGTCAGCGGCAATCCCGCCGCCGCGGCGTCGCACAATGTCGCGGTTACCAGCTCAAACTGTCGCACGCCGGTGTCGCTTGTCTCGTCGCCAAATTCACCGCCAGGTTCTACCGCAAACGCTCCTCCTTCAACTCCAAGTCTCCGCGTCGGCCATGATTTCCGTCAACCCTCGCGATTTCAGCGGCAACCATCAGCTGCCGCCACCACAAAACGCTTTGAAATGGGCGGCACCGAAGAGCTTTCCAAAGGCGATACTACCACTACTAGCATCCCTACAATGGAGGTAGACGGAGATGGTCTCAATGCAGAAATGTTAGGATTGATTTCTTCGGGAAATGCAACTGCCAGCGTTGGCGGCTCGAGCACTCTTCACGGATCAACTTCTACCGGAAAGCATGATCATGGCCGCCTTCGTCATGATAATGGCAGTCACGTGGGCGGCGATGCGAAATACTTGGGGGGTGGCGGCTCATCATCTCAACTTCCGGAAACAACGGAATGGGCTTGTTCACAATCTGGGGACGAAACCCCTTTGGAAGAGTTCCTTCGGAGTATGATGGGCTGGAGTTCGAATCTGCACGTCGGCACAAATTCGGACAGAAATGCTACCGTTTCTGCTCGTCCGGACCTCGCCATTCAGGTAGCACCGGAGCAACGGTCGCACCACATGAGAGGTTTGCAAGCGGAAATCAGCTTGATTCCTGAAATACCGCTTCCAAACCGCGGAGGCTTGGAGGCAAAAACAACACTGCTTGTTACCGAGCCCGCATTGCCAGCTGTGAGTGTCAACGCCACCCAGGACAGAGGTCCAAGAGGACTCGGCACTGGCTCACTGAATGTACCCCGACATGCATCATTAGTTAATACCGGATCGCCTTGTGTCGCCGGATCACCAACCGCTGTCTCTGGTTCACCAAATCTCTCTGAATCGCCTTTGGCGGGATCCGCCGTCCTGTCGACCTCCATGCCGATGCTCTCAGGCGAAATGGCACTGTCTGCAAGGTGTGCAGACAGCAGGCGGACCATCTCACTTCCTGGCGAGAATTGCATCCTCGCAAGCGCGATGGTTGACTTGGAAGAAGAGGCACTGGTGCAGGAGCTTTTGAGGTCTGACTCCAGAGGAGGTCAAACAGGCATGCTGGTCGATGGCGGTGGTTTGGATGGCAGCGGTTCTGCTGCTGCAGCTGGTGTTGAAGCATCTGCGGGTGTATTCAGTGATGGTGGGAATCCTGTGCTAGGCGCATCCAATTCCAGTGGCGATATGGCCGGAGGGTCACAAGCACAGCAAACGAGCCAGGTGCGCCAGCAACTGGGCAGCCCTACAATGGGGGATTGGCGACCACGGACCCGGACACGCTTTGACGCAGAAGCTAAGGAGCGAGGTGTCATAAAACCGAGAAGCATGCGTGAGAGGAAGCGACGAGATAAGATCAGGTAAGGTTGCAGCTCTTAATGCATGACGTTGGCGTTTTTCCTTCGTCACAGTTTTCTAAAATTGTGTTTTACTATGGTTGCAGTGAGGGATTGCAACAACTGCGGCGGATGCTACCAGCAGGAGCAGTTGGGCCTCAAATAGACACTGCTACGATGATTGAGGTGGCGATCTCCCATATCACACACCTTCAGGTAAGAAAGCATGTTCTTGCTCTAGTCTTCAGGCTTTGTTTTGGATGCATTTCCAATATCTCATGACCATGTTTGTCTGATGAGCAGTCCCAGGTAAACAAAATGGAGAGTGCGCTACTGGTGCAGAGTTTGATGGAGCAGAGAGCAAATCAGCAATATCCTAGAAGCGAGTTTAATTTTGATACAGAAAATATGTAGCCCATTAACTCCTTTCACTGGACTGGAGGATGTCTTTGTCCTTGATGTAAATTGGCTCAATTGCATTCTTGCTGTACTTAATCTCTTTTTATGACCTACTGTACTCCATACTTACACCACAAATGAACCGACGTCATACCCAGGAAGACATTTCAGCAAGATTGCTGATGTGGGACAAGAGGAACTGCACACGTACGTGCCCTGGGTCCCACGTTTATCGATGACACGGCACACTCGATGTCCCCTTCTGACAGCCCACAGACATCATCAATTGAGTTGGAAGTTGGAATGTGGAAGTGAGCTAATTTGATTTCCCCAAGGTCAACAAATGATCTCCTCCCTGAGTTATTTGTTTTTTTGCATTACTGGCAGCAATCCGCCGCCATTGTTTCTCTGATCGGATGCGAGTTGAGGCGGCTAAGTCTACACATGGCGGCTGCTGCGTTTGATCTCTCCCTGTTCTTTCAGGCTGTACCCTTGGTCTGCTGAAGGGGCAAGCCATTTCATCCTTTTGCCCTTCAGAAACGACTGGCTGTGAGGATAGTGCGGGATTTGAAGAGAAAGAGCCAGTACCCTGTAACAATCACTTCAGAAATAGCTAGCCACGCCGCCACAGACCTGCTGTGACTTTCCCTAGGAGTCTGATTCGCAATTTTTGTAAATTTACCTTTCCGCGCCACGCGTGCCCCGCTAGCAGCCAGAGAAGCATCCTTGCATACTGCCAGCTGGCAAGCTGCATTTATGTGGATATTAACTCGGTACTGAGGCTCCTCGTTGTTCTCGGTCGCGGTTTTTGGACAAAACAATTACTCCAACTGGCCAAACCTCCAGGTTGAATCCAACGGAATCTGGTCGATTTGTATTCACACCGCAAAACAAGCATCACACACCACCCTACCTCTACGGACCTCCCTGTTTGCGTAACGGACGTCCCATTATTCGTCTGTCTTACTCAATCCTAGAAAGTCGGCTTAGTTTGATGAAGAGCCGTTTGGGCAGCTTGTGACGTCAGCTAGTGATCACGCCACGTCAAGCAAGGTTCAGGTGCCATGGCAGCTCATACAGGATCGCCTTTCACTGCTTGTAGCGTAATATCTCCTTTAACGAGAAGTACGGTCCACTCACCGCATTCTCTCCTCACGGAGGGTAGTACGACGCTTATCCAATGGTCCCAATCCTATCCCCGTTATAAGACGTTCGATTACACGAAAAGGTTACAATACGTTAAGGCGAGGCCGCTAAAATTCCGCTGCCAGGCGGGCTCTGACAGCTCAAGCGGGAATAAAGGAACGAATGACCGGGATAGTAGTTCCCGAAACGGCAGCGGTAATGATCAAGAAGGAAATGACAGGGGAGATAACGACAGCACCAAACGGAAAGACATTGACGGGTCGACGCAGCAACAGGAGGGGTTAATTATTGAGGAGAGACTCGCGAATGCGTCTATACGGAGGTAAATAGATGCCGGGGCGAGTTCGAGCACTTCCCCTCTTGGTTTCCGCGTTCTTCTGCTTGTCTTCAAGCAGTAATCTATGAATGCGGTTCGGGCCTTGATAGAGGGTGTATGCAGTGGTAACCATTCTCAAGGGTGGACTATGCGGTAACCATTTCCAGGAGTTTATCAGTAGTAACCATCCCGTGGATGTACAGACGCAACCCTCCACCCCCCGACCCCCCCAAGATCTCTCAATGGTAATCATTCCCCTGAGGATTTACCAGATAATAATTTTCTATACAATCTGTCGGTGATGAACCTCCAAAGCATTCTGAACCTCACTCCTCAACGACAAATCCCCTCCCCAAAATCTCGTTGTCTGTACCCTAAATCCTGGTGCTCCTCACAACCGCATTACCTGTCACTTCCTTGTAAATCTTCCACCCGCTGTATCACTTCCTCATTTTCCAACACGCCGTTGCATTGTAACCATGGCACTATTCATCTTCAGGGTTTTGGGTTTCCCTTTCATCCCCCTCCCGCCACAACCCCCCTCCCCACCCTTTCCCTCCCTCCCACCCTTTCCCTCCCTCCCTCCCTCCCTCCCTCCCTCCCTCACTCTCTCGCTCCCTCGCCCTGGTTCCTCATTCCCCCTTCCCAGGTATCGCATCAGCCCGTCTCAAGGAGCTGTAAGCGTTGCAGAACCCCCTCCATAACCCTAATCCCCTCTGCCGCTGTGTCTTACGTGCCCTGTTCCCTTATTCGTCCTCCCTGTTTCCTCATTCTCCCTTCCTGTTTCCTCATTCCCCCTTCCTGTTTGTTCATTCCCCCTTCCCAGGTATCGCATCAGCCTGTCAGAAGGAGCTGTGAGCGTTGCAGAACCCCCTACCTCTTCCTCCCCCCCTGCTGTGTCTTCCGCCAATGCCGCCGATGGTGCTTCTAACGAAGGTGACAGTAACGGAGGCGGGGCTGAGCCTACCCGAAGCGGCCGCTTCGACTCTCTGGTCCAGTCGGCAAAGAATTTCTTCCTGCCCGCTGGATACCCGGTCAGCCTGACCAGCGACTACACAAGCTACATGTAAAATCCATTTTTTTGCCAACTTATATCCTCGTTTTCTCCTTTCCTCCAGGCAATTAGCCCTACCTTGTCCCTCGTTCCTCACGCCCCTCATCCCCCGTCCCCAACCCCCCCACGTCCCATCTCCCGCTTCTCGCTTCTCAACCCTTAGTCTCCTCCCTTCCCCTCTCGTCCCCTTTCCTCCCCTCTCTCCTCCCTCCCATTCCCTGTCTTCCTCTCTCATAGCCTTTCTCTTTCTAAACCCCTTTCATCCCCTCTATTAGCCTCTTCCCCTTCTCATCCCGTTTCCTCCCCTCTCCTCCCCTCTCCTCATCATCTTCTCTATCTCATCCCATCTCCTCCCCTCTCCTCCCCTCTCCTCCAATCTCCTCATCATCTTCTCTATCTCATCCACACTCCTCCCCTCTCCTCCAATCTCCTCTCCTCTTCTCCTCCCTTTCCTCCCTCCCTCCCATCAGGCTCTGGCAGTTCCCGGTGCACATAACGGGGTGGGCCTCCTCAACCCTCGTCACATCCACGCTGCTGCAAGCAGTTGGAGTCGGGTCGCTCGTTAAAGCCACAGCCACTGCTGCTGCCGGCACCGCCGCTGCCACTGGTGCTGCTGCTGCTACTGGCGCTGCTACTGGTGCCGCTGCTGGCGCTACTGCTGCTGGTACGGCCGGCACCGTTGCAGCAGGAGCAGCAACCCTCGCAACCACAGCAGCGGCAGCAGCAGCCGCCCTCCCCGCCGTAGACCCCGCCTCTGCTGCCGCCGCCACCGCCGCCATCAAATGGGTGGCAAAGGACGGCATAGGCGCGGTCGGGCGCCTCCTCGTGGGTGGCAGGTTCGGCAGCATCTTCGACGAGGATCCGAAGCAGTGGAGGCTCGTCGCGGACCTAATCGGCTCGGCCGGAGCAATCTTCGAACTAGCCACCCCCCTCGCGCCGACCCACTTTCTCCTCCTCGCATCCCTCGGAAACCTCACAAAGGCCATTGCGAAAGGGCTCAAAGACCCGTCGGCTAGGGTTATCCAGACTCACTTTGCGCTGCAGGCGAATGTGGGGGAGGTGGTAGCGAAGGAGGAGGTGTATAAGGTGATGGCTCAGCTGGTGGGGCTGGGCTGTGGCGTGCTGCTGCTCAGCTCGCCCTACATTGCCGAGTCGTATTGGAGCCTGGTCACCACGTGGGCTGTGATTCGCTCGACTCACCTCACCTTTCGGTTCAAGTCGCTTTCTGTGCTCGAGTTTGACTCTGTGAGCTTCGTGTAGGCGGGGGAAGGGAGGGAGGAAGGGAGGCGGGTAGGGGGGTACGAAGGCGGTTCAGGTGGAGGATGGCGGGGGAAATGGTGGGGAAGTGGAGAAGGGGGAAAGGGAGTGTGGTGTTGGGGTGTGGATGGAGTGGTGCTGAGTTTTCCGTACATAGCCAAGTCTTATTGGAGCATTGTCAGCACATGGCCTCCTTCCCACAGCCTCTTTTCTTCCTTCCCCTCTCCCCCCCCCACAGCTAAGCTTCAAGCGCACGGCTGTCCCTGTCAAAGGGCACGTTGTTCGAGACATCTCAAAAGTCATATTCTGAGACGTCTCAAAAAGCTTCAAGCACACGGCCGTCCTTGTCTCTCCCCTCCTTCTCCTCCCCTCCCCACTCCCCCCTTCTCTTTTCTCCTTGCCACGGCTGAGCTTTCGGCGCACAGCCATCATTGCCCGAGCACACGGCCATCATTGCCCGAGCACACAGCCATCATTGCCCGAGCACACGGCCATCATTGCCCGAGCACACGGCCATCATTGCCCGAGCACACGGCCATGCAGACAGCCAACCGACAGGAGCGCCTCTGGCTGTAATCCCGCCTCTCCTCCCTTCCCAGGAGGCCCAGAGCTCTCCACACGTCTCAGGAGGGGCAGAGCTGCCCTCCAAGCAGGCAGTCAACCGACAGGAGCGCCTCTGGCTGCCTCCCAACTCTCCATCCTTCCCATCCTTCAACACGCCATCCATTCTCCCCCCTCCTTCTCTTCACCGTTCCCCCTGTCCTTTTTCCCCTCTCCGCAGTTGAGTTTCAAGCGCACGCCATCCTTGCCTGAGCGCTCGTCTCAGGGGCGGCAGAGCTGCCCTCATTGCAGGCAGTGAACCACCTCTGGCTTCCCCTGTCCCCGCTCCCTCCTCCCTCTTCCCCTCATCTCAGTTGAATTTCAAGCGCACCGCCATCCTTGCCCGAGCGCATGTCTCAGGGGCGGCAGAGCTGCCCTCAGTGCAGGCAGTGAACCGAAGGGAGCGCCTTTGGCTGCCACGCCGCCTCACGTCCCCTCGCATAAACCTTGGTTGCTCCCTTGCTGACGTGTCCACCCTGCTGGAACAACAGTCGGCCAACCGGATAGTGAGTTTTTCTTTCGTTCTTTCTTTGTTTCTTTCTTTTCCTTTTTTTTTTGGGGGGGGGGGGGGGCGGGGGCTGTCTGTGTGTTAAAGGCTGCCTGCCTGTCTCTTCATCCCACATGAACCCTCCTTGTCTCATCCCCACACGCTCACAGACCTCCTGTCACTTTACCGGGAGGAGCAGCTTATACGACATTTGTGTCGTCTCAAAAGTTGCTCAACAAAGTTCCATTGCATGTTGCAGTCCTTTTCTTTGCATGTCGTGCTTTCCCCATCTGTTTCATCTGTTGTTTCAACTGCGACCTCATGTCATCTTCCAGCCAATCACAGAGCAGCATTTGCTTCTAATGAACGACAACGGCACCCTCCCCGCCCTTCTCATTACTCTCTCTCTGTCTCCTCTATTCCCCGTTGTTTGTAACTGCATGATTGTGTTCGCCTCCAGCCAATCACAGACCTCCTGTCACTCTATCAGGATGAGCAGCATGTGCTTTTAATGGATGACAACGTCACCTTCCCCTTCCCCCTTCTCATTACATCTCTCTCTTCCTCTCCCCGGTGTAACTGCGATGTTTTGTCATATCCAGCCAATCACAGACCTCCTGTCACTGTACCGGGAGGAGCAGCATGTGCTTCTAATGGATGACAACGGCTCCTTTTCTGTCATCTTCAAGGTACCCTATCTTGCCAATTCTACTGTCACACGCACTGGCCATGTCTCTCTCTTTCTCCTGTCTCACCTCCCTCTCCCCTCCCTCCCCCCTCTCCCTAGCCTTTGCTTGCTCGCCACCTTCCAACACTTGCAGTTCTCACACTCGCCGAAACCCGTTCTTACCCTTGCTTTACCTTGCTTTAGCCTCACTCTTGTTCTCAATGGCGTCGACTCAACAGTCGCTCGCACCTCACCCACCCAAACCCGTTTTGCTTCCATCCTTCCGTATCCCCAAATTTGTCATAAGCGCCTTGGCTCCCTTTCTCCTTTTTTCCAGTGAGGTGACTGTCGAGTCGACTCACCCAAAACTCACATGCGCTTCACACACTCACCCAAACCCGTTTTACCTCCACCCTTCCTTGGCCCCCAAACCCTAATCTCCCGCCTCACCCTCTTACTCAACGTTTTTCCACCTTCTCCCAACCCAACTACCGTCCACGACTCACTGCAGCAAGGAGCATCCAAGGGGACGGTTCTGAGGGTTGTGTGGCAGGCGTGCTGGCTGCAGCAGCATTCTGAGTCAGCTCGTTATCCCCTCACCCCCTTAATGTCTTGTTCCACCCTTTCTCCCTGCTAACCTCTCTTACGATTCACTGCAGCAAGGAGCATCCAAGGGGACGGTTCTGAGGGTCGTGTGGCAGGCATGCTGGCTGCAGCAGCAGAGGAGGGAGACGAGCAGACAGCATGGGGCAGATGGGGAGGAGGGTCACTCTGATGCCACCGACAGAAGCAACGGCAGCAGCAGTGGAGACATTAGAGTGACATTAGACATTAGCATTCTGCAGGCATCGTTGGATGCGTTAGGCAGTCGGTTTGAGGGGTTCCTTGCCCAGGCAGCTGCAGCAGGGTGGGACACCAACACTCTCGTGGCCAAGGTGCCTCCCTCCGCCCCTCTGCTCATGCTGTAATTGTTCAGCGACAGAGGCATTGGCATTCTGCAGGCATCGTTGGATGCGTTAGGCAGTCGGTTTGAGGGGTTCCTTTCTCAGGCGGCTGCAGCAGGGTGGGATACCAACACTCTCGTGGCCAAGGTGCCTCCCTCCGCCCCTCTCCTCATGCTGTAATCCTTCAGCGGCAGAAGCATTGGTATTTTGCATGCCTAGATCCACTAGACAGTGGGTTTGAGGAGTTCCTTCCTTGCCAAGGCAGCTGCTGCAGGGTGGGACACCAACACGCTGGTGGCCAAGGTGCCTCCCTCCGCCCCTCTCCTCATCCTGTAACCCGGAGCTGCCTGAGTGAGGGGCATAATTGGTCTTGTGCAAGCCTCTCTACATGCGCTAGGCAGGGAGTTTGAGTGGTTCCTGGCCAAGGTGACTGCCGCAGGGTGGAATAACAACACTCTCGTGGCAAGGTGCCTCCCTCCGCCCCCCTGCTCATGCTGTAAGCCTGCAATCGCCAGGAGTTGCCTGTGGTATTGCTGCTGTGTCTTGGATGACATACCTGGTGTTGCTATGGTATCAGGTAACAGAGCAATCATTACATGCCATATGGCAAAGCATTGCCGCAGCAGCAAAATGTATGTTATTGTGAAATTTGCCATTGCTGGGAAAGTACGGTAGGGGCACTGAAATAATTTTATTCAATACCTTACGTTACCATACGCACCGTAGTTGAATTCATTGTATTTCTTCATTATAGCCTCGGTCAAGCTCAAGGGCCTTGTAAAGCTGAAGATGTGAAGCTTTGAGAATACAGGACTATTGTACTGATTAGGTGCTTCAACTCTTACTGGACCTCACCCCCCCCTTCAACACGAGGGGAGGAAATGAGGCCAACTGTGCTACCGTTTTCAAGAGTCCTAAAACAAAGATGAACGGAAAGCAATATACCTTTCCCAGTCTTCCTAGAACCTCTAGGCAAGCCAACTTTTATGAAATAAAACTATGCAGACTACAGCTTGCAGCAAAGATGTGTGCACAGCACATGTAGGTGTACCGTCAACAGCTGTATCACGTCTCATTGTGACCATCAAATCAACTACCCACGTCAACAACATCTTACAGCGATCGCCAGCACCACAGCCAACATCAGTCAACAGCTGTTCACCATGGTCAACAGCGGTCAACAGTGGTCAACAGCGGCCAACAGTGGTCAACAGCGGTGAACAAGGGTCGAGAGCGGTTAACGTCAGTCAATGGAGGTGAAGATGGCTTCTAGTCGCTCCACAGACGCATACAGCCGCCCCACATTCAGCCCCAGAATGGGCTCCCCTGTTCCCAAGGCTCTGATGATGGGATGCAAGTGGGTGGGTGAATGAAGGGAAAACATAGCAGGGAGGGGAACGACACGAGATAGGCAACGGAACGGAGAAAAAAAAAAAAAACAGAACAGAAAAGCAAACGGCGATTGAGTAGAAGCAAGACGGAATAGCAAAGGGTGATTGAGGACACACGAAGGAAACAGAAACACCAAGACATGTGCTTGGACCAAGCCTTTTAATTCAAGACCCACCCATACATGTCCCCCAAACATCCTCAAAACTCACCCATGTATGTATGCTCCAGAAACGTTTGAAGACTTACCTGTGCGTGTCGGGCGGCACATATTCGCATTCCACCCCACGCGCACATCCACGCCCGGGCACACGGGCAGGTTGTGCTCGCCCCCATTCATGCATGTCCCCCATTCATGCATGTCCCCCATTCATGCATGTCCCCCATTCATGCATGTCCCCCATTCATGCATGTCCCCCATTCATGCATGTCCCCCATTCATGCATGTCCCCCATTCATGCATGTCCCCCATTCATGCATATCCCCCATTCATGCATATCCCCCATTCATGCATGCCCCCCATTCATGCATGCCCCCCATTCATGCATGTCCCCCATTCATGCATGCCCCCCATTCATGCATGTCCCCCATTCATGCATGTCCCCCATTCATGCATGCCCCCCCTTCATGCATGCCCCCCACTCATGCATGCCCCCCATTCATGCATGCCCCCCATTCATGCATGTCCCCCATTCATGCATGTCCCCCATTCATGCATGTCCCCCATTCATGCATGCCCCCCATTCATGCATGGCCCCACTGAAACAAGCCAGTAAGACGACTCACCCATGCATGTCTGGCAACACGTATTCCGCATTCCACCCCACCCACACGTCCACGCCCGGGTACACAGGCAGCATACAGCCTCACCCATGCATGTCATGCCACAACCGTACACCTTAAAGACTTGCCATGCATGTCTGGCAACACGTATTCGGCATTCCATCCCACGCGCACATCCACCCATGCATTTTCTCCAACATGCATGGTCTTAAAATGATCTCCTAGGTTCACCCGTGCATGTCTGGCAGCACATATTCATCATTCCACCCCACCCGCACGTCCACATCCGGACGTACGTGCAGGTTGTGCTTGTACCCCATTCATGCATGTCCCCCACTCATGCATGTCCCCCACTCATGCATGTCCCCCACTGAACAAGCCAGTAAGACTCACCCGTGCATGTCTGGCAGCACGTATTCCGCATTCCACTCCACGCGCACGTCCATTTATGGATGCTGGGCATGTCATGTCATCCATTCATTTCCAAAACTCAAGACTCACCCATGCATGTCTGGCAATACGTATTCCGCATTCCACCCCACGCGCACATCCACACCCGGGCACACGGGCAGGTTGTGCTTATAACGAATCTCTGAGGGCGTGTTCCCATTCAGCGCGGAGGTGAGTTTCCACTTCCACCCCGTCGCATTGTGCTTAAAGTCGTGCCCTATGCCCACCTGTGGGAGAGTAGGGGACGGGTGGGGAGAGAGAAGGGGGGTGGGAAAGGAGAAGGGGGGTGTGGAGATGGGTGGGAAGGGAGAATGGGGGTGGGGAGGGAGAAAGGGGATGAAGTGAGGACTGCAGTGAGTTTCCACTAACACCCCGTCGCCTTGTGCTTGAATTCATGCCCAATGCCCACCTGTAAAGGACAAGGGCCGAGATTAAGAAGGCGGGGTGAAGGCCGAGAGGGGCGAGGGGTGAAATACAGGGGGTTGGGAAGAGGAAAAGGGGGAAAGTGGGCACAGGGGTGAGTTTCCATTTCCACCCCGTTGCGTTGTGTTTGAAGTCATGCCCTATGTCCACCCGTGGGAGAGAAGTTGAGAGAGAGGGGTGGGTGAGGGGTGAGGAAAGGGTGAGGGGTGAGAGAGGAGGAGGAAAGGGATGGGGGCTTGGGGGTTAGGGGAGGGGCCTGGCGCAAGCCGGGGGTGGGGGAGAATAGGAGAGTCAAATCAAGGGATGGTATAACAACCCTACAGGTGCCCACATACCACAACCACAACTGGCCACACTACACCATACAGCACCGCATTCCACCACAGGACACCGCACATGACTGCACTGCACACCTGCAGGTTGAGCAGCCCCATGATGGGGATCTTGCGGGTGAGGAAGCGGATGTCGTCCCGCTGAGGCTCAAAGACGACCTTCCACACCAGCCCCAACCGCACCTGACTGCACTGCACCGCACAGTACCGAACTGCACCATACAGTACAGCATCGCACCACCTTGCACCGCACTGCACACCTGCAGGTTGAGCAGCCCCATGATGGGGATTTTGCGGGTGAGGAAGCGGATGTCCCCCCGCTGAGGCTCAAAGATCACCTTCCACTTCCGATCCGTGATGTTGGGCTTTAACACCAGCTTCAGATTGGCGCTGTTGACCTGCTGAGAGAAAGCGGGTGGAGAGCGGAAAGGGGTAGAAGGCAGGGGGGGGTGGGGAGCAGGAGTGGGTAGAGGGCAGGAGTGGGTAGAGGGCAGGAGTGGGTAGAGGGCAGGAGTGGGTAGAGGGCAGGAGTGGGTAGAGGGCAGGAGTGGGTAGAGGGCAGGAGTGGGTAGAGGGCAGGAGTGGGTAGAGGGCAGGAGTGGGTAGAGGGCAGGAGTGGGTAGAGGGCAGGAGTGGGTAGAGGGCAGGAGTGGGTAGAGGGCAGGAGTGGGTAGAGGGCAGGAGTGGGTAGAGGGCAGGAGTGGGTAGAGGGCAGGAGTGGGTAGAGGGCAGGAGTGGGTAGAGGGCAGGAGTGGGTAGAGGGCAGGAGTGGGTAGAGGGCAGGAGTGGGTAGAGGGCAGGAGTGGGTAGAGGGCAGGAGTGGGTAGAGGGCAGGAGTGGGTAGAGGGCAGGAGTGGGTAGAGGGCAGGAGTGGGTAGAGGGCAGGAGTGGGTAGAGGGCAGGAGTGGGTAGAGGGCAGGAGTGGGTAGAGGGCAGGAGTGGGTAGAGGGCAGGAGTGGGTAGAGGGCAGGAGTGGGTAGAGGGCAGGAGTGGGTAGAGGGCAGGAGTGGGTGGAGGGCAGGAGTGGGTAGAGGGCAGGAGTGGGTAGAGGGCAGGAGTGGGTAGAGGGCAGGAGTGGGTAGAGGGCAGGAGTGGGTAGAGGGCAGGAGTGGGTGGAGGGCAGGAGTGGGTAGAGGGCAGGAGTGGGTAGAGGGCAGGAGTGGGTGGAGGGCAGGAGGGGGTGGAGCAGACACAAAGTTGACCTTCCACTTGTGGTCGGTGATGTTGGACTTTAAACACCTTGCGCTCCCTTCCCCTTCCGCTATCCAGACCCACTTCCCTTCCCCCGACCCCTGCCCTCGTATGCTCACCTGGAAGCCCCACACGGACAGTGCACTGTGCTTGGGCGCAGGAGTTGACTTGGGCGAGGGAGAGAATGTCGACAGCTGTGGGGGGTCGAGCTTGCGCCTGAGCTCAACGTTCGCCCCAAGCTTGTACTGCAGGAAGCGTACAAGCACGGGCTCATACCCCACCTGAGTGCGCCTCACTTTGATGCTCACCTGAAAGCCCCACAACGACAGCGGGTTGTGCTTGGGCGCAGCAGGGGCCTTGGGGGAAAGCGAGGCGGTAGAAAGCTGGGGGGGATCCAGCTTGCGCCTGAGTTCAACATTCGCCCCGAGCTTGTACTGCATGAAGCGCTGGCGGAACTTGAAGAACACCTCCTTGGGCTTCCAGTCCACCTGGTACATCTCCCGCCACCACGCCCACGCCTCCTCCCCCTCCCCCTCCCCCAACCCCTCCGCCTCCCCCGCCACGGATCCCGCCCCGCCCATCCCCCCCCTCCCCTGGCCCCACCCCCCTCCCCCTCCGCCTCCGCCTCCCCATCCGCCTCCGCCTCCGCCTCCCCCGAGCGTCCCCCCGGATAGACCCGAGGCGTCTGGTTCGTTGGAGTAGGAGGGGCTGATGCGGAGGGGTCCGCCTCCCCTGCGCGCCCCTCCCCCTGCCCCTCCCCCTGCACCGCCGGCTACCCCAGCGTAGTACTGCTGCTGCTGGGGAAGGTTAGGGTACTGGGGTTGCTGGTGTGGCTGCTGGTGCGGCTGCTGGTGCGGCTGCTGGTGGGGTTGGTGCTGATGATGGTGGTGGTGGTGATGGCGGTGGTGCTTTCCCCCTGCTCCTCGGCTGCGGGATGAAGGGTAGGCTACACCTGCAGATGCACCTGCAGCAGCAGCAGTAGCTGTAGCAGCAGATGCACCTGCTCCAGAAGTGCCTGCTCCAGGGACGGGGTAACCAGGCGGGTTGGCAGTAGGCGTGTAGCGAGGGTCTTCAGGCTGGAAAACAAATACCCCACACGAGGACGGGGTAATTGGGGAGAGTGCCACTTTGAAAGATTAGTACCCAGGGATACTACTGCGTAGAAACGGCAGGTGGTAGGAGGAGCAAAGGACAGACAGATTTCAGAGAGCTGATAGACTGGCCGCTTGGAATCGCCAGTTGGACTCTGTTTTACCCCAACTAACCAATTACAAATACTGTACAAAAACTACAATACTCTAAACGTGACATTCCCAATACACCGCATTAGGCAATACTTACCACATAGCTAGACGACGCGCCGGGACCACCGAACTGGCCATCCCGCGGAGTGGAAAAATGCACGTTGTCGTACGTCCGATCCCACTGTTCCCATCTCCGCCCTCCGTTCGCCGTCGCCGTTGATCCAACGGCTGTCGACGCGCCGTACTGCGCAGGCGCGCCGCTGGGAGCTTCGGGAGTTCCCGAACCTGATGTGGAGGTTCGTACAGCATCCGCGCTGGGAAATGGAAAGCGAGGTGTCAACGGAAACAGCGAAAGCGGGAGGAGATACTAAGAAAAGCAATACATAGATGACCATCGGGCTGTAAGAATTCGCTCATAGTTATTGTTAACATTGTTCGTTAACGGCTCGCCCGTGACGGTTCGTCCTTAACATTTCCTCACGGCTCGTCGTTCGCGGTTCGTCCTGACGGGGTCCTACTTATCAAGGTACCTTGATTTATCGCGGAACGAGTCCGCTCGGCTCTCCCAGATGGCCAGTCGGCGTCGAACGCCCCAGCCTCCGTCCGCCATGGCGACTAAGAGTCTCAGTTAGACAGTGACGACGCTTTCGCTACGCAGCGGGCGAATGAGAGTGTGCCGAAATAGCGATAGGTGAGTGACAGACAGTTAGCTGGAATAACAGGAAGTGAATGGCCAGCGTCGCTGGGTAATAGATAAGAATATTTTAGGCAACGACCAGCTGCTGTCCACGCAGCAGGCAGGCGGCACGCCACTCGCTGCACGAGGGCGATAAGTGGCGTTTTGGAGCTTCGAAACTTCTCATTGGATGCAAAACATGTCATCAGAGACATACTTTGTCTTACCACTACAGACCACTGGATTAACCGCTGTATCGTTCAAAACCGTACTCGAATTCTCTGAACTCATCAGTGCCAGACCTGATGGTTCGGCAACCTATTTGATGTTGCCGCGCAAAACTCCAGTGTGCGCAGCCTTGAAGTCTACAGATATGCCAAGGGGGAGAGGGGAAATGGCGCACGCGCACAGGTACGTAGGCTTGGCGCAAAGGAACGGTTGGCGGAGTGGAGTCGGCGGTTGAAATGCTGCGGGCGACAGGGCTCATCATCGCCCAAAGACCGTTCCCAATTCGCAGTAACAGGTTTCGCCAATCGCAAACAGTCTCAGTACGAGTGCCCAATCAATGAGGGTCCCTGGGAACTGACCAGACGACGCTCTGCAATTCATTGCTTTCCAAGCCCAAATCAAGCAAGAGTGGTTTAGGGCGCGTTCTTAATCATCCGTGAAGCTGACGTTGTCACCAGAGGAGTTACGGGTTTCGTAGTTCTGACCTAATTACAAGTGATGTGTACAGCTTCGCTGCAAAAAACAGGACAATTTCGATACTCTTTGTGAAACAAATTTAAGAAGCATACGACCCAGGGATATCGCAAAACCAGATTCCAGGAGATTCCGACTTACCTCCCTAACCTAGCCAGCCATGCATGCACCCATCCCATGACTTCCTCCCATCCCAATCTGCACGCACCTATCTACTTCATTGTCATCCATTCTGCTCTCCGTTCACAGCTGCATGCCGTGCCGTACACCACCGACCGTCACCACTCTATTTCCATACATCACCGACCTCATTCCGATCTCACTCCACTTGAGCCGGCCGTTTGAATGTCTGCAGCCCGCATCCAGCGGATAGCTCCGGGGATTCAATCCCTCTTCCGCGCTTCCCCCACCGATACTAGCTATTCCAGACTCCACCAATCGTGCTCTCTAGCCGCTATTGTGGGTTTCAGCCCCTTCTCGTGTCGCCCTTCGTCTGTCGCGTCGCCCGCGCTTTCCCAGACACCAGCCGCCTCGTCGCCGCTTAGCGAAAGCCGCACCGCCGTTGCCGGAGTCGTCCGTCAGTCTCGCGATTCAGATCGAATTGTCCATTCTCTGAGCCCTTGCATTTCTGTTGCAGCTCGACGCGACTCGCGCTTCTCTGCTACGCAAAGCGTCCCCGCGTCTCAAGCCGTCGTCTCCACGTGCACTCGAAGCTTCGCGGCAGCTGCGGCGTTCGGAATGGCGGCGCCCAAGGAGATCTCGTCCAATAAGATGTTCGGCGGCGTGAACAAGCGCTACGAACACGAGAGCGCGACGCTCGGATGCACCATGAAATTCTCCATCTACTTCCCGCCCGCCGCCACCTCTTCACGCGTCCCGGTACGAATTTTGGTAGTTGAGTGAACTAAACAAGTGAACAAGCGCTACGAGCACGAGAGCGCGACGCTCGGGTGCACCATGAAATTCTCCATCTACTTCCCGCCCGCTGCTACCTCCTCGCGCGTGCCCGTGAGTTTTAAGGACACCGCTTTCTTTCCTTAATCTCACGTTTTCTCGTTCGTCTGCCGGTGCACCATGAAGAGTCTCCATCTATTTGCCTCTCGCCGCTACCTCCTCGCGCCGAACAAGCGTATAGAAATCTCACATCGTTGCACGTGTTTCATCCATCTCGAGCAGTCACCTCGTGCGTTGTCCCCACACACCCTCCCCACACACCCTTTTCCCCTTGCAGGTGATCTACTGGCTCTCGGGTCTCACCTGCCCGGACGAGAACTTCATTCAAAAGTCGTTTGCAGGCAGGTTATGTTCCCACTCCGCCACCCTGTTCCTTCCCCTCCTCCTACAGCATTTCCCCTGGCAGGTGATCTACTGGCTGTCAGGTCTCACCTGGACGGACGAGAATTTCATTCAAAAATCTTTCGCACAGAAGTACGCCTCAGAGCATCGCCCTTGCCCTTGCCTTGATGCGTCTGTTCCCTCCCTTCCCCTTTCTCCCTTCCCCCTCTCGCAGGTCATCTACTGGCTGTCAGGTCTCACCTGCACGGACGAGAACTTCATCCAAAAGTCGTTCGCACAGAAGTACGCCTCAGAGCATGGAGTTGCTCTCATTGTCCCTGACACCTCGCCCCGTAAGCCGCATTACCCCTGGCCCCCCCTGTAGCTGCCCCGCACGCTCCCTCTCCGTCTCACAGCGATTCCTGCCTCAGAGCATGGAGTTGCTCTCATTGTCCCTGACACCTCGCCCCGTAAGCCGCATTACCCCTTGCCCCCCCTGTAGCTGCCCCGCACGCTCCCTCTCCGTCTCAAAGCGATTCCTGCCTCAGAGCACGGAGTTGCTCTCATTGCCCCCGACACCTCGCCCCGTAATCGACCCCTCTCCCCTCCCCCTCCCTTCTCTGCGCGTCCCCGCCTGCCAATGTGCTCAAGCCTGCCTCTTAGCATGGGGTGTCTTTCATTGCCCCTGACACCTCGCCCCGTAAGCTGCCCCCCGCCTTCTTTCCCTGAAGTTGTCCCGTATGAATAGACCAATCAAAACAACCTAATACGACGAATCAGAGAAATTACACTCAAATAGACTAATCTGCTTCCTTTAGCGATGCTACGCCTATCCCTCTTGCCGTTTCATTATGTTTTTCTTCCCCTGCAGGCGGGTTGAAGGTGGAGGGAGAATCGGACAGCTGGGATTTCGGCGTGGGTGCCGGCTTTTATGTAAACGCCACGGTTCCCAAGTGGAAGAACTGGCAGATGTACGACTATGTCACAGAAGAGCTGCACCGGATTTTATCCGCGCACTACACTAATCTGGACATGCAGCGGTGCAGCTTAATGGGTCACTCTATGGGGGGACACGGCGCGCTGATTATCTTCTTCAGAAATTCCACCAAGTATAAGGTGAGAGAAGTGACAAAACAGGAACAAAATTATTAAATGCGTTTTTTTCTTATTTCGCCCTCAAACTCTCGCTCTTCCATTGCCCCTCTCCATGTCCATAGCCCGCTTGTCTCTTTTGCCACGTGTCGCTTCCATTGCGCCTCTCTTTGTGTACAGCCCGCTACCTTAATCAACAGTAATCTCCCTCCAATCCCGTTCTCATTTGTTTTTTTAAGCCTATTTTTCAAACTGCCAGCCTGACTGCCCTGTCCTTCCTCCTCCCCTTTTCCCTCTGTTCCCTCCACTCCCCCTAGTCTGTGTCCGCCTTTGCCCCCATCTGCAACCCCACGGAGTGCGCCTGGGGGCAAAAGGCCTTCTCAGGGTACTTGGGAGATGACAAGGCAGCTTGGGAGGTGAGTCCAATAAGTTGGGTTGTGTTAGGTTGGGTTGGGTTGGGTTGGGTTGGGCTGGGTTGCAACCCCACGGAGTGCCCCTTGGGGGAGAAGGCCTTTTCAGGGTGCTTGGGAGATGACAGAGCAGCCTAGGAGCCCCTTCCTAAACACCCCCACACATCCCTTTCCCTTCCGCTGCACACCCCTTCCCCTTTCCCTGCAAACCCCTTCAGCTGCACCTCCTTTCCCTCAACACTCCTTCCCCTGCCTTTCCCTCTCAGGAGTATGACGCTACAGCGCTCGTGAAGCAGTACCCAGGGCTCCCAAATGCACTCTCTTTCTCCCCCCTCCCTCGTCCCCTTCTCCTCCACTCCCCTTCTCCTCCACTCCCCTTCTCCTCCACACCCCTTCCCCTGCACGCCTTTCCCTCTCAGGAGTATGACGCTACAGCGCTCGTGAAGCAGTACCCAGGACCCAAGGTTGACATTCTTATCGACCAGGTAGGGGGTTTAAAGCCCGCTTTCTGTACCTTCAGGTATGTTCTTTGGAAACTCCCCTCTCAGGAGTAATGACGCCACAGCACTCGTTAATCCCCACCCACAGCACAAGGTGGGCGGATATCCCCATGGGTCAGGTGTGTGGGAAGCAAGCAACGCTTATGGGTACAGGTAATGGCCAAGGAGTGTTGCTTCCCACACACCTGATTCATGAGGATATCCACCTGATCCACGCGGTAATGGCTGTTGCCGGGTAGTTGTGCCGAGTTGCCATGCTGAGTCGACACTCAGCTGAGGTGGACATTGAGCATGCTGAGTTACCCACTCCATCCCCTTCAAGCAACAGCACCCCACCCTCGCTATATTCAGAGCGATTTTTACATGTTTTTTTAGAAGCAGCTGCTTTTGAGACACCTCACAAAACGTTTGAGACGTCTCGGAACTGGACACGTGCTATCACGAGAAGCAGCTGCTACCAAAGAGAGTTGGTGAAGCGCCTGGCACTCCTTCATCTCGATCCCCCCCCCCCCCCCCCCCCCTCCGTTGCGCATCCGCAGGGTGACAATGACAAGTTCTACCATGAGAAGCAGCTGCTGTCGGGGAATTTCCGGAATGCGTGCACCGAGGCACAGTTAGACACCACTTCATCCATTGATCTCTTGATTTATCATTTTCTCTTTCGTTTTTCCATATCCACAGGGGGACAGCGACAAGTTCTACCACGAGAAGCAGCTGCTGTGGTGATGGTGAAGCGTCTTAAGACGTTATGTCTTACCTCAATCCCTTCGACCCTTCTCTTGTTGTTCTTCCCCCTGCAGGGCGACAGTGACAAGTTCTACCACGAGAAGCAGCTGCTGCCGGAGAATTTCCAGAAGGCGTGCACCGAGGCAGGGGTGCCGCTGACGCTGCGCTTCCAGGGCGGCTACGACCACTCCTATTTCTTTATTGCATCGTTCATTGGGGACCACATCAAGCACCATGCCAAGGCCCTTAAGGCATGATGGCTTGACCTGAACATTATTAAACCTTTTAAAACCAAAACCACAACAGAGTCATATGTATACTATGTCTTTCAGCTTTACTAATGTTTCTCCAAAACATTCCAGTATTGTGTGGTGAAACGATACACCTGCTGTGGAGGCGTGAGTCTCACACGGCTACCCCTGATTGGCTCAGCTTGCGAATGCGATCTGCTTCACCTGATCGCGAAATGCTGGCTGTGTCTGTGAGGGTGGATGAAAATTGTTCACAGCCCAAACCGTTGTCATCATTTAAAGAACCCTACAGAACCATATTTGAACTCTCTGTAACGTTCTGTCTTTCGAACCCGCTTTCACCCTCGAGTCAGGACGCACAGCACGTTCTCCTGAGCTGGCGCTCCCTCAACCGTGAGGTTGCACCGGCAACGCACATGACTTCAAACGAGTCAGTCCACTCCATCCCCTTCAACCGTGAGGTTGGCGGGAGGCGCCTCACGTCAAGATGCGCTCTTCAAACGAGTCAGTCCACTCAATAACGGGGATGGCGCCTATCTTGTCATGGATGATTCCACTCGTAGATTTGTACACCCTCATTCTCACCTTTCTCACCGTTGGAAGCACTGGCTACAGTGTTTGGACGTAGCGGGCTGGTGCGATAACTCGGTGCGGGCAAAGTCGCACGACGTGACGAACAAGCCTCGGCCCACCCTAAACCGTTTTCCCTGAACCGTTCAAAATATACCAGTACCATTCTAGAACGTATTCAAACTTGACTAAACGCCTTTGGTCAAATTGTCACTATAACGTATGTGATAGGACCTTCCTTGTATCCATTGTACATTTATTTTAGTGTCAATAAAGAGGGAGAATGAGGGGGTACCCAACTATATATGGATCAAACCATTCCTTCTCAAAGACACCTCTCCTGGAAGACACCTCCTTGTAAATACCTCTTATAAAACACCGCGTAGAGCGGGAATCGATGGCTGTCGTCGTCGTGAGTCGCGAATCGTGAGTATTCCAGCCTAGCTTCCTCACTAAGTCGTGCTCACCGTTCCCTACGCCCTTTGACCGCTGCGCTAGCGGGCCTGATTTTTTTAGGCGGCTCAAAAATCGCCTCAAAAGGCGCCTAAAACATACGTCCTTTGACCGCAGCGCTAGCGGGCCTGAAGCTTACCCGTCATGACCTGATGATGGTGTGACTTTACTTCTGCCGTTTGGCTCTGGCTAATTTCAGATTCACTCGTCCAACAAAGCCGCTCCATGGCTGCCTCGGTAGCTCAGGACTCGAAGCCGTCTTGGCTGTCTTTTGTTGCCTTGCTAGCGTTATTCGCGTTAGTGGTAGTTCCGTTACTACTCTTCACCGTCCTCGTAAACTCATACACGATATATGCTGACGCACCAGGCATCCACGTTCGCCCCGGCCAGCTTTCCGCGAACAAACAGGGTAACTCCGACGCTGACGTCGCTGCGAGCCGGGACAAATGCCGGGTTCCAGAAAATTATCCGGTAGGATCCGATCCGGTTTGCTGGTGGTCCGGGGACCATGGCGGGTACGGTAGTAGCGACTCGTCGGGAACCAACAACGACACGATCGAGTCGAATAACGACGGTTCGCATCAGAATGCCTCTACAGCGCAGGACGCTCATGCCAATCAGACTATTTTCGATAATTCTCAAAAGCCGATTGCTGGAGTGCTGGCAGGAATTCAGGAGGAACGGATTAGGAGGCAGAGAAAAGAAGGGGTTCTGATTTTCGGCGGAGGATGCTCCCGCTGCGCGGTGGGTGAGCTGTGCGCCTTCGAGATTGCCGTCAGATCACCCGCGAAATGGGTCGCTCGACCGAGGGGATTCTCCGCCAGCTATAGTGGTAGCGACGGCAGCAGCAACAGTGACAGCAGCAGTGGTAGCGACATCAGCGACAACAGCAGTGGTGGCGCTACCGGTAGTGGTAGTAGCGATAGATTTAGGGTCAGCAAAACGCGGCGGGGCGTGGGTGGTCTGCGCGAGTCGCTGGTGGTGAGGCTGATGGGGCCTGCGTTGGCTGCAGCGGATGTGACTGCAGAGGAGGGTGACGTCACGCGATGGCGAGTGACGTACCGAGTGTGGGACGCTGGAAACTACAGGTGAGGCTTGTGGGTTGCGGGGCGGAATGGGGAAGGTGGTGTGGGGGAGGGAACGAAGGCTGGGAAAGGGGAATGAAAGGGGAATGAAAGGATGAAGAGAAACCTGGACCACGAGGGGATTGGGGGCAATGGGGAGGAGGAATCCGAATTTCTTCCTCCCTGAGTTTGTTCCCCACCTTTCCTCTATTTCCTTGAATCCAACCCTTCAGATGCTCACTACTAGAATCCAAGTAAGTCAAATCTCATTCATCCTTCTTACTCCTTCATCCCTCTACTCCCAACTCCCTGCCCAATCAGCATCCTGGTCCAATCAGAGTGCGACGCGTTGGACTTCGCTCCCGATTTCTTGGAGCGAGTCAACACCACAGGATCACATGTCATGGCACAGTGGAACCTCACAGTCCTTCCACGCATCCAACCAGCCACCGAACCAGCTACTAAGCCAACTACCGAACCAGCCACCGAACCAGCTACCAAGCCAGCTACCGAACCAGCCACCGAACCAGCTACCACTACTTCTGCTGAGTCCCACGCCAGCAGCACATTTCCACGGAATGCAATGGACGGCCCAGATTCGCCCTGCGACCATTCCATCAATGGCCGCTGGCTGCTCGATTCACAGACACAAAACTACACGTGGCAGCTCTACCCATGCGCACACCCCCTCCCTCCCACCTCCCAATGGCTCTCCGCTCTCCAATCTCGGGGTATTTCCGAAATCAACTTTGTCAGGGACTCTCACGTGCGATTCCTATTCCACCATCTCTACTTCCTCCTCACTGGGAAGGCCAATGCGTCCACTTTTCAGTACCATTGGGACATCCGATTGGTTGTGCCGCCTCCTAGCCCGGAACTGCAGCCGCTGAAGCTCAACTTCTATTGGATCGGAGGGATGTTTGTCAACGGGTCTTTTGGCTGCAGGTGAGGTGTGCGAGCCAAGACTGTGTTTTGTTGTTTCTGTTTGTTTCGTTCACATCCATTGTTCTCTTCCTTTAATGTTTTAGACAATTGCTGTCCTTGTACCTGTGTCCAATGTGTGGCCAGATGCAGGAGGGTTTCTGGCTCTGAACTTACTCCATCTGCCGTCTTTTCCCACCATTTCCTGTTTTTTCTCCCCTTCATTATAATCACTGTGCAGGAATGAGAACATTACGTCACTTCAAATGCTCCATTTCCCAAACATCTCCACCACAGCCCACGTGACACTCGTAGATGGCGGCTACTGGACGATATTTTTTTGTGACGAGCCTGAGAACGCCTTTGGGTATTATCTTCCTAATTTCCTGCAGTGGTTTTACTCCAGATTAGAATTAATACAGCTGGAGCATCAACAGCGGCAGCAGCAGCAGCAGCAGCAACAGCAGCAGCAGCAGCAGCAGGGGCAGGTTGAAACTCAAAGGCTGCCCGACAAAGGCCCTTGGTTTCTGTACCGAACCATCCCCCCAAAACGGCTTAACGAGTTCTGTGATAAGGGAACAAACACCCTCATTTCACACTTGAACAAAGTTATTGCGGGGCATTTAGGATGGTACGGGCTGTCTCTTCTTGATGACTGGCTAATTGCTGCCCCAAGGCCTGACGACACTTGTAAAAGTACTGATGTACATTACAGTTGCTTTGCTGAAGCTGAGGAAGATAAGAAGACTACAGAAATTGAGGGAGAGTATTATGGGACTGTCGGAGAGGCGATGGCGTGGAATTTCATGTACCATTTATTGTATGAGCTAAATTGAGATAAATATCATTAGCATCTTCTGAATTTACCGAATGGGTATAATGCCCTATTTATTGCAGCTCGCTTGCTGCATACCACTTACCTCTTGCAACCGAAACTGCAAAATTCTGCAAGCACGTGGCCACCCCCTCCATGCTTACCGCCTTTCCACCCCCTCAATTGGTACATTTCCTAGTCCCCGTCCCCATTTCCCACGCAACCTAGTTTCGTACGTGTTCTCGCAACAGCACTTCCAAGTTGGCGCGTATCACAACTTTTGCAGCAAGCCCAGGCCTTGGAGTGTGAGAACGCAAAACATGACTCCAGCGGGGCAGAACAACATCCGACACCCAAAACGAACCGGAACCGAGGATTCTCCCCTCTCTCCTCACACCGACCTCGGTTCTCCCCGGTTGGTGGAAGGAAATGTCTGAGCTTGGGCTCCCCACCAACCTCATTGAGCATTCTCCTCTGGAGTGACGAGAGAAACGTGTGGAGCACAAAATTTTGTCAAATGACGTACCAATATTCGTTTTTAATTGGTGCGTTACGGTTGAAATCGGTAATGAGTACGAACCGTGTGGAAAACCACTGTACCGCACATGAGGTTGGGCGAACGAGCCTGTGTGATTTCATTTTTGTAACGCCCCTTCCAGCCTTCATCCCACCTCGATTCTTCTCAAAAATACCTCCTGAAATGAATTAGCGCATCATTCAGGCACAACAGATAACATTAGGACGTGTCACATGTCTCTGGTCCACCCTCGGACCCCCATGGTCCTTGCCTTGCGCATGATTTGTCACCGCATCATGGCTATAGATGGTCCTTCAAGGAGTTTTTGCAAGCCGTTTATTTAACGATCTGCGCAGTTCCGCTCTACACTAGCCATTCATTTAGTGCCCAGACGTGTTGATACTCTGCACGCGATATTCACTGCGGTTTACCAACACAGCTGGTCTACAATAATATTTATTTATTTATTTGATAATTTCTGTTTCGGACGAAGCTGCTCGACGAAGCCACTCCATGGCGGCAGGTTCCGTTCCTAATGAATCAAAGCGGTGTTCGGTAGCCTTTCTGGTCTTTCTGTCGCTGTCCGCGTTAGTGGTAGTTCCGTTACTACTCTTCACCGTCCTCGTGGACTCATACACGATATACACAGACGCACCAAGCCTGCAAA